GGTGGTGTCTTTTCCATGATCTTTATAAGATTTTATTCTGCCCTTACTGGACGAAATGGAATTATGTTACTCATCACTTGATTCCCTTTTCCTTTCTAAATATTTTCTGAATTCATCTTCTTTTGTTCTCATGATGGCCATTAGATGCTTGGAAGAAGGAGCTGAGGAATTCTTACTAAAACCAGTAAAGTTATCAGACATGAACAGGCTCAAACCTCATATAATAAAATGGAAATCCAAAGAGCAAAACCAGAAAAATAACAACAACAAAAAATCAATGGAGGAGGGGCTTCCTTATTGCAGAATTAATTGGATGAGGGGTTTTCTCCTTAAAAGAAGAGGACAGGATTCTCAAGTGACCCTGACAGCACTTGACAGATTTGTGATATTGGAGAATTTGTTTATTGGCCACAGAATAAATTGGAGAGCACTGAAATTTCCATCTTATGTTATGAGTCAGCCTCCATTGATTTATATTTTGACTATTTTGGTGTTTTTTTTGGTTTGTTTCCTTGTTTGTGGCAACAGGGAAATCTCTAGGTTACAGATTAGGAGATCAGTATCCATTTTGGTGCTGAAATTGCTTAATGGTTGATGTAGCAGAAGGAACTCAACTGGATGCCTTAATATATTTTGAAGTCAAATTTTGCAATTTTCTTTTATATAATTCCTTTGATCAGTCTAAATTTATAAATAACTACTTTTGCACACATTTTGTTTGAAAAATGAATGAAATTTGTGATATAACTGTATTTTGTCTGCTTTTTTAAAATGCTACAGTTGAATGTTGTGTTTTAGAATCAGACCTTACTAAATGCGGTGGTTATTAGAAAGTTGCAAGATGATTCTTTTTTTTAAAAAAAAAAGCTACAATAGCCGCCTTAATTTTCTTAACATTGGCTTTTCTACAGTAGTTTCAAACTGCCTTTTTGAAACATAAGCACATTTCCCCTCATCTTCAGCAAAAATTATTAGGTGCAGACACCGCACGAAAAATTTGCATACGATGTCTGATCTAGACCATCAAAAATATAGAATGGGCCCCACTCTAACAATTAAAAAAACAAAAAGATGTATTTCAGTGGTTCATATCGAACATCGCACGCAAATTTACATGTGGTATCCGTACCTAATAAGCGCTCAATCTTGAGAAGGAAGCTACTACATCAATTAAAATGAGTAATAAATTAAAAAAAATTAAAATAAAAATAATTATTATTTAATGATTATCACTGCATTTTTAATCAGTGGGATTATATTCATTTGTGCATTTTGGATTAGTTTTTCACAATTTCTTTTATTTTTTTGTTGTCATATCATTGTTTGGGAAAATCATTTGCTTTTTAAAACTTTTATGATAGATTTTCCACTCTTAATTTTTGGGCCTTTTACATTGTCACCCAATTCCGATGTATTTATATATCTAACACCTAAATTTTACCATTTTAATCTATACCACCTAACTTTTTTATATCACATAAAAATATAACAACTTTCCAAACGATGAGACTGTGTTTTCAAAATGTTGTTGCAGCAGATAAGCTGCCCCAAACACACCCGTAGTCAGCTTTAGATCATTTTAAAAAAATATAGTTCTTTTTGGGGGAACCATTTCATGCCTAAATAAATAAATAAATAAAATTAATATTATCTTTCAGGTTAATATGAAATATATATATATATATATATATATATTCCATAATATTTTTCATTGTAAATAAAATTTATTTGAATCCAAGGCTACAATGAATGAGAATCATTATTTAGGCCCACTCTTAAAGCAATGGAGGGACCATTTTTTATTGAGAATTTTAAATTTTAAATTATATATATTCATATATAGAAAATATATTATCAAATTAAACATATGATGTCTCTTCTTCTTCTTTTTTTTTTTTTTTGCTAAAATAATAACCCTAAATTTTTGTTTCTTAATTTTTTTTAGGAATATTTAAAGTCCCGATTAAATTTGAATAAAATAAAAAAGACAAGCTTTACACAATTTTATTCAAATGTGTTCTATCAAATTAATATAATTAACATCATTAGCACATATAAAGGGTCAAAATAAGTAATCCAACTACAAGCCCAAAATGTTTCATATAAAAGTCTAAATTATGTTGAAATAATCCTTAAAATTAGGCTTATATAGACTAAAAATTTGATCCTAAAAAATATATTTTTTTTTTATGTTTTTCTTTTTATAATATTGATATTTAATGGTGGATATAATCCTTGGGATATTGGTTTCATCATTTTTTTTTTTTTGAAAAAACTCAATAATTATAGAGCTAAGAAAACCAAATCTCCTTTGTTTAAAAAGTGCTTTTGTCTAAATAAATAATTTATAGTTTCTCTATATGTATTGATAAAATTAGGAACTCATATAATAGAAATAATATTACATCAAAAGTTCTGATGTAAAACTGCATCATGATTTCAATCATAATGTGTCACATGTAAGGTTTCGTTTCATTGAATACCAGAAACTAAATAGTTTAATGCAATACGAGGTCAGGTCGTACACATGATGCATTGTGATTGAAGTCCAAATGCACATCAGTATTTTTTTCCATTTAACAGGACATATATGTGGATATCCATTAAGGCCCAATTGCACCCTCTAAAAAAAAAAGAAAAAAATTGATAAAGTTAAAAAAGAAATATTTTTTAAATATGTAAACTGAAATAGCATTTATGGTTAAGGGCCACTAAGAGATCAATAGATCCTCCCATATCTACTAAAAATCAGTAAGATTTGAAGTCTTCAAAGCTGACAAAGTCCATGATGGTACTTTAGGACAAAATAATAATAATAATAATAAAATAAATAAAAAATTGTGTCCGCACATCTTGACCTTCAACCACCGACCGACACATCGCCATACATGTCATCAATGGGACCGTTCAGACGTCTAGACGAATACCTTTCCCTTTTTTTCTTATTTGTTCTTAACAAAAAGAATCTCTTGTGGTCGTATATTGCACCCAATAATAATTAAATGTTAATAGAAAATGGATATATTTAAGTTAACTAAAATGACAATTTATCATATTTTCTTGTGAGGCATTACAATTGTATTCTCCTAGAGACTATAATTATAACATATGAACAGTTAAAAAAATGTTATTTTTATATTAATGAGAGTAAATCGTTGATAAGTGTCATATGTACCACATAATTATGTGTAAAATAGATTTTTAAAAAAGAAACAGAAGAAGTGTTATTGCCTCTTCTCATATCACATTTTTTATGTAATTACATGACTAGCACGTAATATTTATATATATTTATATCATATAAAATTTATCACGAATACTTTTATGATTGGCAAATCCTCGTGTCAAACAGGACAAAAGTTTATATCAATTGGCACATTATGTCGATCCACCATACTATAGAGTCGATCGTCATTTACCGATAAGTGTTAGGCCTAATTTTTCTGTACGGACTCCTGACGTAGCTGTACATGCAGAGAAAGTTATTCCGAAGTTATTTTCTGGATTATGTTCAGTAATCTCGAAACACCCAAAAATAAAAACCTATTAATATCCACAGCACATAAAGCTTTGTCAAAGTCAGCAAATACACTGGCCGTCTAGACACCTGGTTGAGCGCCCCGGTCAATGTCCGTCCAATTCCTTTGGGATCCCTGCTCACATATTTGTAGTATATAAGCTATTTGTTAAAGAAAATTAATTAATTAAGATACAGTTTTTTCAGGCAGTGGTATATATTTGAAGGTGTTAGATCCGTAAATACATAAATTGAGGAGTATTTATGTAAATTATTCATATTATTTAAAATAAAACTACCAATTAAAAGAAAAATACAGGCGGTGGGCTTTGAACCCGACGTGAATCGAACACGCAACCTTCTGATCTGGAGTCAGACGCGCTACCATTGCGCCACGGATCCGCCTATGTTTCTATTTAACATTATATTATATATATCCATGTTACAAAAATTTTTTATAACAAATAAACAAATTTTGAATATCAAAACATGTAAATACATAAGAATTGTGCGGTATGGAAGTAAATTTTTTCTTTAATAGTGCATAATAAATCACATAGAAAATTAGCTTCTTACTATTAAGCCAAACATTTTCATGTATTCATGTCTCTAATCATAAAATATGTAAATACTTTTCTTACAAGTTCATCTTTCTCTATCATTTCTATATGGCTAGAGTTTTTCTTTATTCAATTTTTTAAAATTTTTCATATTGAAATGATTTATAATAAACTTTATTTAGACTAAATATGGTAATAAAATGAATATTTTTTTTCACTAGAAAAAATTAGTATCGGTCACAAAAACTATCATAAAACTTGTTTTTTTTTCTAGAAACATCTCACATCTATATTTATGATAACATGTCACTAGTTGGTGAGCTTTCGAGCATGAGACATTTAGATGTCAAAGAAACACCAATTATCAGGCTATCATCTTATATTGAAAAAGCCAAGTTAAAATAGTTAAGTACTTAGTGTCAATCAGGAAGAACGGAAATCAGACAGCTAAATTAAGAGTTTTCTATAATTAGAAACTTCTTTATTTTCAATATCTTTATTCTGATTTATTTTCCTTTTAGCTGAATATTTAGGTTAGAAATATGTATTATTAAGTTGTCTAAAATAGATTATGCACTTTATACCTAAAATAGATTATAAAATTATTATATAATGGAATGAAAGCAAAGGAGAAGGCAATGGAGCCTATTTTTCTCAAAACTCTGACACTAAGGCTCAGATAGAGGCAATTGAAAAAGAAAACTTTTTTGAGAATTATTATCATTTTTATAATGAATATAATGCAAAAAAAAAAAAATTCAAGTTTATTTTTAAAATCTATAAAATATTTAAATTAATTCTAAAAACTTTTTAATAAAGCTGAAATATTTCTCTTTCAGCTTTAGAAATGTAAATACATAGGAATTGGGTGATATGTAGGTAAATGCCACCTATTTCTTAAAGAAATCAAATACCAGCTCTCATAAAACTACCACACATCAATAGAACTAATTATAACAGATAATACGCAAACAAGTATAATTCTTTGCAGGCCATTGATTAAACTACTAACTAATTATAAACTTTCAAAGATTTTAGTCCTTTGCTAAGGCTAACATAAACTTAAAATTACACTAATTCCCACCTATCAGTGTGAGCTGGAAATCCCTGTAATAACCAGAGGTGTCTCCAACAACATCATCATGAAGAGCTTTGTTATATCTGTTCTTATACTCCTCCTTGATCAGCTTCATGTCGATCTCAGCTCGGGTAACAATGGCTCTTGTGAGAGATTCCTCATCTGTTCCCAGTCCCAAAATTGAGCTTCTCACAACCTGGTTATGACAAAATGGACCTATTCAATCACCATGAGACAAAATAACAAATTGATTGAGAATTTTGATATTTGAGTGAGAATTTGAAAAATGGATGGAGGGTGTTAAATTTATAAATAAGAATGTTTCTAGAGCCATGTATGTGATTGCATCTTGATTAAAATTCTTAAAAGTGAATTTAGAACTTGTATTACCTCAGCAAAGTGCTTTTCGGGCGATTGTAGGCAACGGATAGTAGCTCTGATGGTCGATGTGAGTTTGTTATCGTCACTAATGTTGCACTCTATGTCCTATTCATCCAAGGTTATACAGTCGTGATGTTGCGAAATTGGAGCGGAGTACATAAAAAGAAGCAAAAGAGAATAACACGAAAAATTTACGTTAAAAACTCCACATGAGAAAAATCACAGGCAGAATATTTACTATATTAAAAAAAAATTACAAAGTGGACACATACCAAATCCTAAAGATATATATATACCACTCAATTCCTATGTATTTACTTAAACTTCAATTTTTACATATAAGCCGCCTTACTTATGCATGAAAATATGTATTTTAATTTCTAAAAGTTAAATGTTGGCATCTTTTCTGAGATAAGAAATATTTGGGTTGTAAATGCCCCTAACTATTATGGAATAACTTAATGGATCATATCATACTTAGATTTTACTGAAAGGGAAAGAGAAAATTAGTACAGTCTCTGCAGCTTGTGTTTGGTATGTTCGCAAAAATATAAGTCAATTCAGCAAAGTACGCACCTCGCCGATAGATATTCCATATTCTTGCTTATAATACTGGAATGTAGCTCTAAGGTGAGCCTTGCTCCTTAAGCTGAGCACCCGAATAACCTCATTGTAAGGCTGCTGCTGCTCTCTTATACCACAAAAGAGTGAGTTTGCTTCAGATTTCACCAGTTGCTCATCCACTTCGTCCCCTTCATATCTGTAGGAGCCCACAAGACTCAACAAAAACTGCAGAAAATTTAGTTTTCTTAGTGGCAAAACACATCATTAAATATTAAATATTAAAGATTGCCGCATTAAGTGCTGTTCGGTTTGCTGAAAAATAAATACAGTGTAATTGAAATGCAGAGTATGTGAAATACTTTAACATTGCTTAGTTTGGTGTAAATGTAAATGTGAGTATCTACAAATTTATGTTTAGTTTGAAGAAACATGAAATTAGTGTTAGACAGACTTGCCGACAGCGGCAACGGCAGCTGGTAACAATGCCCGCGGGGGCAACGGCAGCTGGTACCAGTGCCTGCGGCTGGGGTCGGCAAGTAGCCAAGGGCGGCAACAGCGAGAGGGCAGCGATAGGTGAAGACGGGCAGCTGGCAAAGGAGTTGATTAGCTGCAATGGTGTTGCGAGCTGTGGTTTGGAATGTCTTTGAAAATTGCCTATATTTAAGGAATTCAGAATACACCAATTTTGAACTGCAAGGTGATTTTACACTGCATTCCATTCTCATCATCCCAAACACTATAATTTTGAAAAGGCCTACATTTGATTTACATTATAATACAAATACAGGAACCAAACAGCCAATAAATAAAAAATATTATTTCCTTTCTAAGGTACTGAAGCTGCTAAAGCACCATACCTGCTTTAGCTGCCCTTGTCGAGCAAATTGAAATTCAATATCTTCTTCAAGAGAGGAATTAAAGAGGGAGCAGTAGGTTTGTCTCACTTCAATCAGATGCTCCGATGATGACGAACAAGCTATCTCTAAGACGACCCATATGTCTCGATCTCCCTTCCGCTGTAACGCCTTATGTGCCAGCTTCGCGTCCCTTATTGATGGATGTTCAATCCATAAGATCACAGCTCTCTGAAAAAGCATAAGTGTGCTTCGGTTACACATCACATATTGTTTGAAATAGTTCCATTTATAGCAGTATGTATTGCACTGAAAATCCTTTTTATCATTTACTTATGGAAATTCTATTATAAAAGTTGGAGCATGGATATGTATGAAAATTTTTCCGTGGGTTGGTAGAGCTTTTGATAGTTTTTATACACAAAGTAGATTAGGAGTAGTTCTAAGTCAGGAATAAGTTAAAGAAAAGAACTTCTAATTAATTAATAGGCAGTGAAGTGATCAGTGGTTGCAGAGATCAAAAAAAAAAAGATATCAGAACAGAAACCAATATAAAGATTGAAAGAACAGCATAAAAACTGCTAATTAACTCCTAAGACTCTTTTGATTAGAAAGTATATACATGTTTATGTACCTGGCAATCACAAAAGATGAGATTGTGTATAATTAAAGTGAGATGGTGAATTAATTGGTGAATTGTGATATGTAAATGTTCAAGCTCCCAAACAGTAAGTCATACAATACATAGCACTTGATCAACATGCATAAAATTGGTATTAGAGCTTTTCAGTTGTGCTAGCATGTCACTTAAAAATTGTGTTGCTATTAAGGTACTTCGGTAGATTGTGCGAAGGATGGGATAGACAACCTTGCAAAATTAGTTGGTTGAATTAGTGAATAAACACAAGCAATTGTGTGTTGTAGTTAAAGCACAAATTGGCACATAAATAGAGTTCATGAGGACAAATCTGAAGTAGATTCTAATTACAATGATGAACTTGTTCATTTGGATATTAATTTTAGAAGGGGATATGGAAATCATCTTAAAAGACAGTTTAAGTTTTAATAAGGATGGTTATGGAAATCTTAAATGTCAAAATTTAGACATAAATGATGACATAATAATAAAAAGTAAAGTTGAAGGGTCTACTTATGATAGTAAGTTAAGTTTATTCTGAAAAATTTGCTATTAGGTGTGGGCTCAAAAAATTCGTACTCTGGACTTTAGCTGAAAGTTTTATTTGAAGTTCAGAATGTCAGATTTTTAGATAAGACACTACCCAAAAAGTATCAAAGTTATGAGAAAAATAGTCTGAATACTGAATAGGCTTGATGTCTTTTCCCTTTACTTTCATTTCATTAAATAATAATCTTACAATCTATTTTAGGTAAAAAATAAAGTACATAATCTATTCTAGGTAACTTAATAATATATATTCATAATCTAAATATTCAGCTAAACGAGAAATAAATCATAATAAAGATATTGAAAATAAATTAAATAAGGAAGCTCCTAATTATAAAAAACTCCTGATTTAGCTGTTGATTTCCGTTCTTCCTGATTAACATCCCCCTCAAATTGATGTTGATTGATCAAGAAGTATCAATTTGCTAACAAGAAACAGATAACATTGTCGGGACAAAAAATCCTCAAGCAGTGAGTGTCGAAGCCGAAAGTGTCGAAGCCGAAAGTGTCGAAGCCCGAGAGTGTCGAAGCCTGAGAGTGTCGAAGCCTGAGAGTGTCCAAACCCGAGAGGGTCGAAGCCATGAATACTGAAAACTAAGATCTATGGTTTGCCTAAGCTGAAGCCATCGATCTAAGAAGGAGTGTAGAAGCTGAAGCCATCGATCTAAGGAGTGCCGAAGCCGAAGCTTAAGCGGACGAAGCGAAGCGTAAGAAGCAATCGAAGAAGCCACAGAAACGATGCATAGCGAAGAAGATCCGAATCAGACGAATAATAATACAAACATAACAACCCTTCTCAACCCAAGTATCTTTAAATTCTACAATGAATGGATTTAGCACTTTAGAAGAAGTTTCATCTCTTAGTGAGCAAACCTACGACATCTATCTGCCTGTCGAGCAAGTCTGATCTTCTTCAAGACAAAATTCTTCTTTTCCACCTTGTTCTTCAAGAGAAGAGCAACAAACATTTCATAAAGAGCCCTAATTCCTAAGAAACACATGATTCCAGAAACAACTGAAGCTAACCACCGAAGCCATAACGGGTGTGACCCTAATGTTTGAGGGCATAAACAACATCCATGGCTGTGACAGTCTTTCGGCGAGCGTGCTCAGTGTAGGTCATAGCGTCGCAGATGACGTTCTCAAGGAAGATCTTGAGCATGCCTCGCATCCCCTCGTAGATCAAACCACTGATGCGCTTTACGCCACGGCGGCGAGCGAGTCGATGGATCGTTGGCTTGGTGATGCCCTGGATATTGTCTCGGAGAACCTTGCGGTGGCATTTGGTTCCCAAGCCCTTACCTCACTCGCCTCGACCCAACATTGTTTCCTAGCTTCGACGAACTGAGGCTGTTTTTCTTTCACAGAGCGGTAGAAGGCAGATGGACTAGTCGAAGATGAAGCAGCCAGAGTAGAGGGAGCAGAGCACGGTAGACAGGTCTGACGAAGAAATTAATCGACTGAACAGTCGAGGCAGACGATCAAGCGAAGCAATGGAAACAGGCACAACAATCCAGGAGACCAAACAGTTGAGGTCGAGCAAGCCAAACGAGTAGGCGAATAGTCCAGACGAAGCCGCCGAAGCAATTGAGCGGCACATATGAAGAAGACGATGGTTTGAGACAAAGCAAACAAGTGAGAATCAAGGCAAAGAAATAGTTTCTCCCTTCCCTCAAGAAGGCCGGCGGGAAGGGAGACTTGATGGTCCTCCAATAACTATCGGTGGTTAGAGCAAAATTTTTGCTCTGATATCATGTCAAAATTTTGAAAAAAATAGGATGAATACTGAATAGACTCAATATCTTTTCTCTTTGCTTTCATTCCATTAAATAATAATCTCACAATCTATTTTAGGTACAAAATAAAGTGCATAATATATTTTAGGTAACTTAATAATATATATTCCTAATCTAAATATTCAGCTAAAAGGAAAATAATTCATAATAAAGACATTGAAAATAATTTAAATAAGAAAACTCCTAATTTAGCTGTCTGATTTTCGTCCTTCCTGATTGACACAAATTTGGGCCATATTTTGTTATAATTTTTTTATCTGATTCGAGGTTTCTCATAAGTGCGAGCCTCTATAAAAAATTTTCAACACATTACATCACTCATGTAGTTTGAGGCCTAATACCAAGAGAGCAGTGCACCTCACCACATCAAATCACTCATGCATAATTTTCAAACTTCAATGGGCTTTGCATAAATATTCAAATTTATTTTCTTTAAGAAATTACTACATATTCAAGCAATCCATCATTTGAACAGAACAATCAAGTTCAATTTGCATCTACTAAGGTAATTACCATAAATTTAATTAGGAAAATAAGGAAAAATGAATAGCACTCAACAAGCAACAAATTGGCTAGAAACAAATTGAAAAATGCCAAGGTTCTAGGCTCAAGTACCCACACTTCCCAAAAAAAAGAGAGAAATAACTACATTTGTATCTAAGACTAAGATTTGTGTTAAGGAATATTTTAGGGGATACCAAGCTATTCATTTAGTAGAAACTTGCATAGAAATATAGATAAAAATAATGAAATTAATAATTTTCATGAGTTTGAAGAGGAAATTATTGATTATAAGAAAATTTTAGTTGATATCGGTTCACCATGTGATGTCTCATAGCTACAATTAAAGTCAAATGTAATTCTAAGAGAACTATATTTTTTCAAACATATCTCAAACATGATGAAAAAATTTGTGAACTTATAATTGATTGTTTCTAAGTCTATCATAACTGCATGAATTTTAAACTTGAATCCCGATCAAAATTAGAAATTGGCGGATAAAACTATTATTTCTGTCTCAGAGATGTTTAATATTGATTTAATTAGCTACTCATACTAGATCTGTCATGTGTGGATGTTGCTCATGTTATTTTGAATAGGGCTCGACCTATTAATGTAGATATTACTTACTTTAAGAGATCAAGCTAGTGTCATTAGGACTACTTAGAGAAGAGGTTTGCAATTTACAAAGCATACAAGTTCAAGTCTAAGAAAAAAATAGGTGCTCCTAATGCATTGAGAAAGTATTTGAAGATTCTAAGCAAACATAAAAGAAAGTGAGTAAGGCTGTGAATTTAAATTTAAGATCCATTATTTGCTCGAAAATTGATTCAAATTTTGGCTCGGATAGGGAATGGATAAAAAAAAACAAGCAGAGCTATAAGCCAAAATTTTGGATCGTTAATGACCCTAAAAGTGAGTAGGTAGGGATGTGATCTATGTCTCAGTAGTTGTGGAAGTTAGTCTACTAGAGTCACTAGATTTAAAATCAGAATTTTTATCAATTAAATTTCAGAAAAAAATGCCAAATATTTCATCAGTTATGTAATTTCCCACTGTGACCATCATTTGAACAAGCTCCATAATTTAAATCTGTACAAAACAAAGGAAAAAAGAAAAGAAAAACTGATATATGATTATGAATATAATAATGATTATAAACGCTAAATTCAGTTTCTTATTCCCAAAATTAGCATTTCAGCAAAGTTATCAATAAAAAAGGTCATCTCTTTACAAGAAAGACACCAAACCTAAACCAATCGAACTCTATAACTATAATAGTCTCAAAACAGCCTAAAGAACATGAAGAATAATTAAAAATGGCGAGGTTAAAATTTTCAAAACGGTTTTGTACCAAAGCAATACACAGAAAGCTTGCAATCTCAAACCTGGAAATCGCCGGAGAGCTCCGATTGAAGGCGTTCGATTAGGGATTCGTTATACAGCTTAAAATAGCAACGGGTAATCTCCGCGCGATTGCGGGCGTCTCTGTGTCCCAAAACCTCGATAATGGTCTTTCCGTTCGCACCGAACCCTAGAAACAAGGTGATTGGTTAAGAGTGGAAGAGAAAAGGAGGTCACTTGGCATTACAATTGGATACGCGTTACCTTGAAAAGCCTTTCTCAGTCTCTGGCAGTCTTCTTCGGGAGAAGGGAGAATCGCTGGAATTGAGAGCGTGCTCATCTCTCCGTCTCTCCTCCTATTCCTCTAGTTTGTCTGAACTCCCTGAAACGTTATGGATTTAATGGAGGGAAAGGAGAGAGTGGAAGAAAACAATGGCAGCCTGATTTAATAAAGAAATCTCTTTTAATTTTACCATGGCAGCTCGCAGCTCGCAGCTCGCTTGCCCTGTTCTGTGATTTGACTGGTGCAATAACTTGGTGGAGCAGTTGAGGTTGGCTTCATATGCAAATTTTAATTTTTACAGGATTATGTATTTTGGGACGGGGATGTAAAAGAGTTTACTCAAGTTCAACTAATTTAACTAAATACAGCAATGAGCTCGAGTTTGAGCAATAGCTCGAATCAAGTTCGAATGATAAGCTCAAATTAAACTCAGTGTTATTAATAGCTAGCTCATGAGCCAGCAGTTGGCTTGTGGCAAATGAGCTCAAGCTTGCGCTCTTTGCTTATTAAGCTCAACTCGTGAGCTTATTAACGAGTCAAGTTAGTCGAGTTTGTGCTCATGAGTTTGCTTTGCTAAGTACCTAATTTGAGGATAGAAAAAATGAGAAGAATTGCACAACACATAATTCCTATTTAGTTACTAATCTAACATTTAAGTTTTAAATCTTATATTTATATCAATTTTATCGATTCATGAAATTAAATATTTTATATTTTAAAGATTAAAATTTTGATATTTATGATATGATATGTAAATACATAAAAGTTATGTGGTATTATTAAATACCCCAATAAGATGCATCAATAAGATTAGCAATTGATTTAAATCAAACATCAAAGAAACATTTGTAATTAGAAATTGAGATCTAATTGAGTTGGCTGATGAGTCATGATTCAAGTCTCACAAAACTTAAATTCAAGTTCCTATTATATATGAGATGCTCGGTCTCAAGTTTCGGTTCAATGAGCTGAACTCGTGAGCTAACCAACTAGTTGTGTTTTAGCAGGTTCACAAAGCAGCTTGATCTATGTTGCTAATAGAATATGTAGTATAAATAAGTAACCTACACTAATTGTATATTTAATATTAAGACATTAAATTTTAATGTAGATTTGCACTTGGAGAATTAAGGGTGCTTTTGAGACCGTGATACGGTGGCTGTGCAGTGCCGCACATCAGTTTTTTTCTGTTTGGCGAAACTGTATTTTGTCTGCGTTCTCAAAAGAATGCAGCTAAAAGTTCAATTTTTCTGTCAGATCTGGCAACCTACGTTGGCTGCTATAACACTACAGTCTGACTTTTTCAAAAAAAAAGAAATTTTTGTAATATCACCATAGTGTTTAGAACAACAAATTCTTCTTTTGCAACTTCACAACTGATTCAAACAGCTGCAGCTGCCTCAAACAAGCCAAAAAAAAAATCATTATTGATGTGTGCTGAAAAATTTGTGATGGTGGACTAATAAATTACCGTCTTATTATTGCATGAGAATTCAACACACATTCAGATAAAAGACAAACAACCAATGAAGACAACAAAATTTTTTACTTACAAACCTCATAAAAAAAACCCCACGGGGCTGACCAAGCTAAAGAGTTACACTACAAATGATGATTACAGTTGTAACTACCATTTTTAGAGGGAGGAAGGGAGGGGGTGTGATGCTGAACTTCAGATTTGTGTCGAATGGTATCTATATAAATGCCCATATTATTAAAACGCTTAAAGATGTGTTAAAATTTATCAATTATTGTGTAAATGGAGAGAAAGAGAAATATGCAGAAGAGATGGGCAAATAAATATTTTTTTTCATTTTTTTTATATATTAAGGCATTAAAGATACGTACTAAACGTTTATTTCATGATTACTAAAGTTGGGTTGTACAGGCACCAAACCATATAATAATAATAATAATAACTATCAGGTATGACCAAATTTTGAGGTCATATAAAATACGTTTTTAATTTGGAGCATTTCATACACGTACCACTCAATTCTTTTCTATTTACATATCTAACATCTCAATTTAACTTTTTACATTTATACCACTCAAATCCTTCATATCATTTCAAAAATATCGTCATTTTAACTTTTAAAATGTGAAATACGCATTGTCATGTATAAGTGAGGCGGCATATGTAAAAAATAAAATTTTGGTGTTAGATATGTAAATACGTAAGAATTAAGTGGTATGTAAGTAAATGTTCATTTTAACACATCAAACGGCCACCGTTTTAAAATATAAAAAAATTATTGAAGTCATTATATAATATGTTTTGGGAATTCAGCTTCTCATGTTCATTTCATCCCTAAAATGAAGAGAAAAAATGTGGAAGAGATGGCCTTAATTCATATTCATTTGCATGTTTACCATAAACATTTATTTATTTGTTTATTTCACTTATTAATTTAGTTAAATATTAAAGAGATTACATCACACATTCTAAACATGTATTATGACCACAGAAGTCGAGTCAGACAGGCAAGAACAAACCAAACCATAAAGGAAGAATTAACAAACCAAATAATATGACCAATTATTAAGTTCATTATAGACAATATATGATTTAAAGACCTTATATATTGTGATAGTTACAAGTCATCTGCACGTTTTTAGGAATTTATTTAGGGTGATATTATTAAACACTAATCACATTTTGTTTTGTTTTTTGTTTTTTTAATGATTGGTTACCTATAGAAATGAGTAGAATTATTGAGAAAAGTCTACATGTTTGATTTTCTCATGCATGAAAAAACTCACTAAGAAAGGTTTAAGGATAATTAGTATTAATTAATTTTGTTTCGCTCAAGAATAAATTATCTAGGGAGTATGAATGTATACGGTTATGATCAATGACATTTAGGGTCCGTTTGGGGCAGCTTATTTGGTGCGGTGACGTTTTGAAAACGCACATGACCTGTTTAGGTAAACTGTGTTTTGACAGCTTATGCATTTTCAAAACGCTGAAAACAGTGTTTTTACACCGCAACTATCTGACAGTTTTTTTTTGTAGCGGTACTGCTTTTCCAAAAAAAAATAAAAATTTGTAATAGTCACCGCACCTAGCTTATCAACAAATTATTTTAAATCGGTTTATCAGCAGATTATTCAATAAGCTGCAACTGCCCCAACAAACCCTTACTGAATGCCCAAAAAGATATCTCAATTCTACTAAGGCTTTGATTGTTTTGTTGGAAAATGAGGAAAAAAAAAGTTAATATAAGTAGTTGTTTGAAGTTTTCTTTTTTATTTTTTATTTTATTTCACATAAGCTTCTCGCATATAAAAATAGCCTAAGCATATAATTATTTCTTATTTTACAATATATTTTATAGAGATACCTATAGAAATGACTAGAATTATTGATATTAGTTAATTGTTGTTTTTCTTGCATTGTATTTACTAGATGATGATATTATTATGTTTGAGAGTGCAATGCATACAAAACAAATAATATATATATTTTTTATGGCTAAAATAAAATGAAAATAAAATTATATTATTTTATACAATTTGAAACTAAAATTTTCTAAACAAAGCTTTTCCTCTCTCACTCTCTCTCTGATGCTAACAGCCCAAATTGCATGAAATTGAACTAGTTACAGTTGAGGTCAATGGAAGTAAGGAGGACCCAACAAATGTAAAATCAATATGGGAAAAAGTAAGAGTTTCAACATCTAGCATCTCATCCATTCATATACTTTAAAATTGAAAAGTGAACAAAATATTTTGGAAAGTAGACAAACAAACAATGTCAAATAGTATATCCATCAAAGTTTGAAGCAAGCAAATACATTTTCGGCCACTTGTCATTCAATTTTCTTATTTTTAACCTTTTACGAAATTTCATGTAATATACCAAGTTAGTAGGGCTATCAGCTTTTGAATTATGAATTTTATTACTTCTCTTAAGTGCAATATTATAAACTAACACGCTCATAAATAAACTTGAAGCTTCCTTAATATATGTTGCTCATGAGAAGTGTTGAGCTTTAGATTTTACAATAAAGAAGTTTCAAGGAGAAAGAAATAAGGGAAGTAATCTATTTAATCATTAAGGGAAGTAAACATGTTTAAATGGAGCATATAAGAGGCAACCCTCTATTTCACACAAGTTTGAACAGCTAGGATTTAAGAACATCACATAAAATGATTTATTTAGGTTTCTTCATCGAGAGGCTATCTTTTTGATTGTGAAGTAGCTTGTCTATATTAGAAAAATTCATATAGCTCTAACATTAATAAATTTACCAAAATTGACTAAAATCGGGATACTAAGGAAAGATCAAGTTTGTTGATATCAACACTTTAAGCATACACAAGGAGATTAAAGATAAAATGCATGCTAACTTACAAAAGAAATCTTTTAACTATGTGTGATTAAAAGGTGAGAAAGAGTTAGTATTGACAATAGTGAAAGAGATCCAATGATGCACATGACAGGCAAAGGTTAAAGCTCTCTGCAAAAATCTTATTCCTTACCAAAGCAAGGAAATAGTTCTGAATAGATTTGCTAAGGGCATCAAGTTCTTATTAGTAGCTAAATGGGTTAACATAGAATCTCTTAAATATATTTCATGCTGCATATAATGTTGAGAAGATTAAGCTCAAAGCCTCTTTTATTCTAAATAAGGTTGTGTAATACCACATTATAATGTGATGCCTCTCAATAGCTCCCATACTATATAATAATTTACATATAAAAAAAGATAGCTTTCTTAACATGTATTTTGACAAGGATAAAGACAAGAACTAATGTTATATATGATAGAAAGTAAAGGATCTAGCAAAATGAAAATGATCAACAATGGATAATTTTTTTTTCTTCAACCACTTAACAAAGATTCACATACCTTAATTAATATATTATCTTGTTAAGGATAAGATTAAGATATTCTTAGAAAGAGTGATATGATTAATACTAAAGAAAACACGAGGAATATAATTAGTTGTCCATGGTGGTTAGTGCCAAGAATGTAACAAATAAAAGAATTAATTGTTTATGATTTTGATAAGAAAATATATACTTTTTAGGACCAACTTCTAATATATAATAATAATGATTAAGTGATTTATAAATTTAGTTACAATTAATCATAGAGTATTTGTCGCTAGTTATTTATTTATTTATTTTATTTTATTTTGGGAGGACATTTATGATACAGTTAGGGCTGTCAAAAAAGCTCGTTGTTCGCGAACAGTTCGTGTTCGGTTCGTCAATGAGTTCGTGTTCGATTCGTTCGATAAGTAAACGAGACAAACGCGAACAAATTTTTTTCGTTCGGTTAGTGAAACGAACCAAACACGAACAGTGATGCGTTCGTTCGTGTTCGAATCATTATTGTTTGAAATATAAAATAATTATATATAAAATAATAATAATAATATATTAATATACTATAGTAGTAATATACTAATATAGATATTGTATATTTATATAATATAAGTTATATAATTAATATATAATATTATTTTTATATATTAATATTAGGGATGTCAAACTGGCTCGTCGTTCGCGAACAGCTCGCGTTCGTTTCGTGTTCGACTCGTTCGTTAAGAAACGAACACGAGCTTATTTCAAACAAACTAAATTTTAAACGAACCGAACACGAACACAAGCTTTGTTCGTTCGTGTTCGGTTCGTTTACACCCCTAGATACAGTTAAGTAAGAATGCATATTAAAAAGAATGATTAATAATAAAAATATTTAATAATAATATATTACTTATTATTACTTAAGAAGAAATAAGTTTGTCATAAGATTGTTTTTTAGTAGAAAATTAGTTGTAAATGCTTCTTAAGCGCTAGGATTTGTTATTTGTTTAACATTGTAAGCTTGTTTGGTTTCATTTGATTAGGAAAACATTTATAACAATTTCTTAATTTTTTTTATTATTAACTTAAAAAATATTTTTTTGTTAAAATTATATAGCTTCATCTCATAGATCCATTAAAGGTTTTATGAATGGTAGTTGAAGGGGACAAAGCCATTTGGGAGTAGGTCTATGAAGAGCCGGAATAAAATTCATTGCTTCATGATTAGAAAATAAGCTAAAAATCATTAGGTTAAGATCTGATTTATAAAAATATTATTTGACAATATTATTTTTTTTTTGGGGCAATTACATACGGACCACCCGAAACTTCTTATTTACAAATCAACCACTCTATTTCATCCATTTTTCAAATTCTCAGTCAAATATCAAAGTAAAACTCCAATGCATATTTTTCATTTTAACGTTAATACATCCGTTTGGCGTTTAAAAAAAAAATCATGGTTCATGTGTAAATATCTAAGTTTTGGATGGGCTGTATGCACATAACCCTATTTTCTTTTTTTTTTTTATAAAGATTGGCACGACAGCAATCTATAATTTAAATAATATAAATCTTACCTACTTAGAAGTTAGGTTTTGTATTATTTAGAAAAAAAATATAGTGTAAATTGCATCTTTAAGGGTCTGTTTGGGGGTAGTTGCAGCTTTTGACCGCAACCAGAAAGCTTCAGCTCACCTAGATAGGTGCGGTGTGAAAACACTATTTTCAGCGTTTTGAAAATACATAAGTTGTCAAAACACAATTTATTCGAACAGATCGGGTGCATTTTCAAAATGTCACCGCATCAAATAAACTACACCAATCGGACCCTAAGTAGTTTAATTTGTAACATATTGATTGAATATAAAATGAAAAAAAAAAGGAATTTAAATGTGCGTTCAAAACTTAAAGCTGGGCTCCCATGCAATAGTGGCCGTGGTTTCAAACACGTTTAATGTACCTAAACAATCAGCCAATTTTAACGTTATAGGAATCAAACAAAGGCGATAAAGCCATTAAAATTATCAAATAAGAACAAAAAATTTAAAATTTGACCGCAAAATGCCTGAAATCTGAAAGCCCTCCAACTTTCTCCTATTAAAAAGCCCCCATTGATGAGCTTGAAACTCAACTTCTCCATCTTCACCTCCCCTTCTTCTCAGTACTCCATTTCTGGAGCTAAAGGAGCAATAAAGAGCAGAGACATCAACCATGGCTCATTCTGTCTTCGCGGAGGAATGCAAGGAGCTCAGCAAGGTCCTGTCAGGTTTGCTTCTTATCTCCCTCCTCTTAATGGATTCCAATCGTAGAAGAATTGGATCTATTTCCGTTCTGATATCTGATAAAAAAGTGATTTTGATTAGGATTGGAAGGCCTCGGAGTGGAAGAGAAGTCTGTGGTGTCGGCAATGGGGAGATGGCTCAGTTCAGAAAAAGCTTCGGTGGTCTGTTTAAGGATGAGACCGGAAGCTTTGTGCGAGTTGACCTTGATTACTGTCATTTGCTAGAGTTGGAATTTGCGAGGTTTAAGGTATAAATTTTGTTTTCCTTTACTTGATTGGAGTTTCCAATTGTTTTAATGGTGGGTTTACTCAAATTGTTTATATGGATTTGCAAGGTGAGATTTTGAATATAATATAAAAACACAAAAAAATAGAAAAAAGAAACAGAAAACAAATGAACAGACTTTTAAGGGGTTTTGTAGAGATTGTAATGAAGCTTGATTTCTTATTATTTCCTACTAAATGATAAACCTAACAAATTTTATTATTTTTAATCTGCAATCTCTTCACTCCAAGCAACCATTTGATCCCTAAGAGGCATACATACTACTGAATTCTTATGCATTTAAATATCTAACACCTAAAGTTCAACTTTTGCATATAAAAATATTTCACCTTTTATAAGTTAAAATGGTGATATTTTTTATGTGATAGAAAGATTTGGGTGGCGTAATGTAAAAAGCATATTTTGGGTGTTAGATATGTAACTGCTCCAAAGAAAAATTTAAGTACTTATGCGGAGAGCTCCTTACAGAACCTGACTTTTCAATGGGCAATGCATCCATCGGAGAGGGATGCTCGTTGGGCTCACCAAGTAATACACAAAGAGCTTTCCCCTGCAATTCTTGTGGAAATCTCATGCACTCGATCGGCAGCTGAGCTTTTAGGGGCGAGGAAGGCGTATCATGTCCTCTTTCATCACTCGCTTGAAGAAGAAGTTGCCTATTGTATCTCTGGAAGCCATGCCAATGTACGTAATTTTTCTTTTTGGAAGATTCATACACATACCACTCATTTATTAGTTATTTGGAATTCTAACACAAAAACTTCAAATTTTACATATATTTATCTCACCTTATCTATATATGAAAAGATGTGTTTCACGTTTTTTTCAAGTTAAAATAGTTGTATTTTTGATGTGGTATGAAAGATTTGGCTGGTATAAAGGTAAAATGTAAACGAACACTCTCTTTTAGCTCAAACTATCTATATATCAATTCAAATAAATCACATGATTCTTACTTAAGGAATTAATAGGAGAAAATCGTTGAGCCGGGGCTCCTTCATCAGGCGACCAAGCGGGTTAGACCCGAGCTAGTAGAGGCACGTGCCCCCAATTCGCCTGTGTTAGATTCGCCACAATTTTTTTGGCTCCTCTTGGGTTCAATGGCTTCATTTAATTTGCAAAAGAGAAATGTGTCAAAATGATCTCTTGACTCTTTGCAATAACTCATTTTAACCCAAAGTCTATAAAAATATCAATTAATTCTCCAAACTCTTTTATTATGGATTGAAATAGTTCACAAAGAGGGCTACCTTAATCCCTATTAAAAGTGTCTAATACTAATTTGACAATTTTATAAACTCTGAGACTAAAATGGTCCCATGCAGATTTACTCTCTTGCAAAATATTACCAAAAACTTATGAGAAGATGAATTCATCAAATTCTAACCAAGCTTTGTCTATGATTTCATGCATGGATATAGTTTCTGGTCAGGCTTGTGAGCTCCTACAGATATGAAGGCCCTCATGTGAACGAAGGAACAGCAAAATCAGAGGCTAAGGCTCTGCATAACGCTGTTCAGAAAGGAGCATCAGAAAGCCTCGTAGAAAATGAGGAGATTGTGAGGATCCTGACTACTAGGAGCAAGCCACACCTAAAACTGACCTTCAAGTTCTACAAGGAACTGTTTGGGAAGTCCATAGAAGAGGTTTATTGCTTCTTCCTTACTTCAAGCTAAATATTTTGTATATTATGTAATTAATATTTCTCTACTTTGCTTGCATTTTACCTCTGTTTGTGAAGTCAGTATTTTTATGGAAGATTTACATATATACCATTCAATTTGAATGTATTTACATATCTAACACCTAAACTTCAGTTGTTTTGTATATGCCACCTTATCATGCATGAAAAGTTGCATGTCACTTTTTAAAAATTAAAATAGTTGTATTATTGATGTGATGTGGAAATTTGTGGTGTTACACATGTAAAAAGCAAAGCTCAGGTGTTAGATATGTAAATACATAAGCACTGGGTGGTAGGTATGCATGTAAATGCCCTTATTTTCATTAGTTTTGCATTTTTGTTATTTGAACTGGAATTTAATTATAAGTTTTTCATGCAATGAGTAGGATCTTGGAGATGTGCCTTTCATAATAGATGCAGTTGAGAGCATCAACTCAGCTCCAGCATATTTCAGCAAGGTGAGCAATAAAAAATTCTTGAAATAATACATCATATTTGGTCAGCCTAAAAAATTCTAAAATTCAGTCTTGTTAGAATTTTTTATCCGATTTTTTTTGGTCTTGTTAGAACCATAAAACAATTTGGCAATATAAAATTAATAAATGAATTTGACACGATTAAGCAAATAAAAATAAAATTAATTAGATTGAAATAGCATGGGAGGGAGGTGTGTCGCCGACACTATCCTTAGCGTAGATCAAGTCTTGGATGGATTTGTTTGCAGCTCTTGTGTTTACTCGTAAGATGCAACCTGTCCTCTTGTCTTGATTGCTCATGCACCATGATTGATAAACAAAACTTCGAACTAATCGCATCTTTAGTTGCCCAAAAAAGAAGTGGAATGAAGGAATGACTAGAAGTTAAGTTGATAAAGAAAGTAGGAGAATATTCAGAATTGGCTCAAAAATTTCACAGTGCAATCTAATTTATGATTTTTTTTTTGTGGGGACCTATGATTGTAGTGGATGGGGCTCAATACATAACCCTAAACCATCACCACTTCTAACTTCATTTTTTGAAACTTTGCCTGTAATTTTTCTCATCCATAAATTTCCAAGTAAATTTTGGTGTTCTTGCAAGTGATTTTCACCATTATATACTTTTGGTTTTTCAGTTGATAGAGAAGACTTTAAAAGTTGGAGCAGATAATGACACAAAAGAAGCTCTGAGTCGTGTGATTTTGTCGAGATCTGATGGAGACATGGATGAAATTAAAGAGGAGTATCTGAAGAGATATGGAATTAAACTTGAAGATGCTTTAAAGAAATCCACCCATGGTGTTTATAGGGATGCCTTGCTCTCTTTAGTTTAAGTCAAATAAGGAGCTGCTGTTTGGTTTAGTCTTTGGAAGCAGGAAGGCTGAAATTAAGGTCTTTCTCTATTATTAATGTTTTAGATTTCGTGTTAGGGAGAAAATATTCCACTTGGTAAATCGGATGTGTGGTTGACGGGGTGAATTACACCATGTTCGGACGATGAATGTATTATTTTCCTCATATTAGGAGTTTATTATTTTCTTACATTTAATGTGTGCTTGAGAGTAATAATAAGTTTGTTTTTGGAAATGAGAAGCACATAATGGTTTATGTGGATGTAATAGAATGTTTTTATTTTCAAAGTAGAATGTCATAAGAAGCTTCTTTTTATATAAAAATAAAAGAGGAATAATTCAAACTCATTGATTGCTCAAATTTGATCTAAAATAGTCCCTTGATTTTTCAAGTTTTATCATTTTGAATCCAAAAATGTCAGAAATCACGCCCAAGGTTTAGAGAGTTATATAAGAGAGAGAGAGAGAGACAGAAAAAGAGATAGTACAATAATGAACTGTAAAAAAAGAGTGTCCCCCTTATTAATGACATGGACTCTCTATTTATAGGCATAAGCCCCAACATTACAAAAGTGCATATTAGTCCTCTCATCATTGATTTGTCAGAGAGACTTTTTGATAATTTACAGAGATATTTGCATATAATAAATTTAGAAGATTGGCTCGATCGACAAGATGTTCATCGACCACCTACTGAGCCTTGGCTCTGTCGACATCTGATTCGAGAGGAAACTCCTTGCCGATCATCATGATGGCAAATTACTACCTTGTGAGAGATCTCCTAGCACACTCTATTGATCTCCTGAACAAGGGTCTCCCTTCGCCAGTATCCAATTTAGATGATCATCTAAGAGTGCTTGATCAGTCATATCTTCTTCCCAAGCCGTTCATTTGTCTTGAAAATCGTGTTGATATATTTCACATATACATATATTTGTACGTCTTTGACGTTGCTTATGAGATTGTCGTGGCTTCTCAATCGTATGAAATCATGCAATTAAAATTAGCGCACACACTTTATAAAATGAAGAATCGCATACCTTTTAAGGCTTTTGCCTTCCAAGGTTGTGCTTTCCAAGGTTGTGCCCTCTCGGGCTTATGCCTTATAGGAGTTTTATATGAACTGATACCTTTTGAGACTTGTAGCCTTCTAAGATCTTTTATCTATCTGTGCTTTCTGAGGCCTGTAGCATTCTGAGGTCTTTAATGTACATGTGTCTTCTGAGTTCTTTGATGTACCCGTGCTTTCGAGGATTATAGCTTTATGAGGACCTTGAGTGGAAATCCTGTCAAACATTTACTTTTGTGGAGTCTTTCTAGTGAGGACTCAGTCCACTACTAGCTTCCCATTGAGACTCGCCTCTTGGGCTCTTCTTCCAGAGGCATGGTAGTTTCTCGTCAAGTCTTGCCTCTTGGATTCGTTTTCTAAAGACATTGTAGCTTCTCATTAAGTCTTGTCACTTTGACTTGACTTTCAGGAGTACCGTATCTTCTCATCGAGTTTTGTCTATTGGGCTCAACTTTTAGGGGCATGATAACTTATCATCAAGTCTTGCCTCTTAGGCTTGACTTTCAGGAGTATTGTATCTTCCCTTCGAGTCTTGCCTCTTGGGCTCGACTTCTAGGGGCATGATAGCTTCTCATCTAGACTTGCCTCATGGGCTCGACTTTTGTGGGCATAGATGAGGACCTTGTCCAACGCTTGCCCTCAAGGGGAATTTCTACACAAAAATCATTTATGAGAAAATAAGAAAATTTTACTGAAATAACAGTTTAAAACAATATGAAAATTTTACTAAATAAAATTAGGAGTTTATAAGCCAGTCTTTTACTTAAATAAGATAATTTAGAGCAGTACTTCTCATACGATAATGCCGATAATTCTCTTCTGGTTCCCCTCACATTGTTCTTGTAAGTAGCGACCCAGGTGACATTGACATATCAAACGTTCAATTTCTACCCTTAATTGAAAACATCTTTATGTCGAATGTCCTTTTGTATGGTGGAAATGTCAATATTGATATTGATCTCCACCATATGGATTTCTTAGCAACCTTAGCTATTTGACGATCTATTCATTCTTAATGGCCATTAGAATGTTGACATGTGACGTGTTGAGTAGCGTGTATTCTTTTTTCTGATAGTGGCTCATGATTTCCCTGTGGTTCGAACTTTCTTCGCTGTGAGATTTAATCGGTATCTCCAACTTTATTCATGCACTTGCCCCCCAATCACTCAAATTATTTCTTGTGTGCAATAATTGCCTCGTCTGTAGAGATTTAATCTTCAACGCGATGAATGAGATCAACATAAGAGTGCACCATCTCGCCCATCAGTGAAGAATAGAAAGGTCCTGGGCGGAGCTCTCCAAGAGATACTCCTCTCAGTAACTTTGGATCTACTCCAGTAATCTGGCGTGCTTCAACGAAGAACCTGCGAAAGTATTTCTTGAAGGATTCCCCCTCATTCTAGCAAACTTCCGATAAGTGAGATGAATCTTTGATGATCCTTCTATTTGCTATGAACTGCTTTACGAATAACCTGACAAGCTAAATGAAGATGATGATGGTGCCCTCCGGGAACATAGTAGAGCCATGTGCGAGCTTTACTCTTGAGATTCGTTTGGAACACTTGACAGCGAAGCATATCAGAAGCACAGTGAATGTGCATGATGGTTCGATAATGGTCGACATGCTTGTATGGGCCAGTTGCCCCTTCATATGAATCAAGGTTTTGGAGTTTAAAACCTATTGAGAGAGGGTGTTGGAGAGCCGCATCAGCCACAGAAGAGGATTCTTGGAAGGTGCGGCGAACATGGAAGAGATCCCTTATATCCAGAGGAAACTCTTCCCGAACCCATTATCGTAGTTCATCTCGGATGATATCAACATAAGCGATAGTAAGGCAGAGTGATGTAAGATGAGTTGCATGAGAGAAATGAGTGGAACTTGTAATGTCAAGAAGATTGGTGTCTCATCTCGACAGAGGAATGATTTCATCATTAGGAGAGAACTCGGTGAGTGGGTCTTTCCTGTTGATTGTTGAACTAGTGGTAAGTAAGTGTCATTGGGTTGCAGTTGTCAATTCCATTGTAGGAGATAAAGGATCTTATGTTGAGACTCCTCTATCTTACGTATTCGATCTTCCAGAGAATGACCCAAGTCACCTTCTTTAGCGGGGTAGTACCTTATGGAGTAGGAGGATGCGGAGGCTTGATGACCTTGGTTCCGTGACCATCTTCTGGAATGATGGGTGTTGGAGCGATATGCTTTGTTGTTCCAAGTGTTAGTCTAGTGACCATGCAACAATTCGTACAAGTATTTTAGTGATGAGAATTCTCTAGTTTCCATAGACGGCGCCAAACTGTTGTGTGCTAGAAAATTCGCGGAGGTAGAGTAATGAATTATCGTTTTATCATTGCATGAGAATTCAACGCACACTCAAATAAAAGAAAATAACTAGTAGTGACACTAGAAGTTTTTAAGTCGAACACCGGTAAAAGGAAAAACCAGGCGGCTTGGCATAGTTGTAAAAATTCACTGTAAGTTAATGATTGCAGAGGCCCATTGTCCTACAGGCAGGAAATGGTTACATAGTTTTCTGAATTAAAATGTTGACATGTGAATGAATTAGTTGTAAGAAGTGAGCGACAACTAATGGAGATCGGTGGAGGTTGGCAGGTGGCGGTAGACGGCAGTCAACAACAGTTAATTGTGGTCGGCGATGATCAATGGTGGTTGGAGACGATCGACAATGGCAAGAGTGGTGCCAGACTTCAACTTCTTCTCCAAACTTCAAGTTTTTCCTCAGATCTCAAATTATCATTCTCCTCATGAGAGGAGTGTGACTCTATTTATAGTATCTAGATGCAATTAATGCAGAAATATTCACAACTTTGATCAGACAGCCCGAAGAACTTCCTTCGATCAAATGACCTTTGATGGACATTCGAGTGACTTAACTATGTCAAAATTGAGCAATTTTAGGCTCGCTGGATTTGTCTTGTCAAACGCTCGATTCGGTTATAGACTTGCAGATTCGATATTCGTTTGACATTCTAAATATATCCGAAAAACTTTCAAGAGTGATTTAATGATTTGATCTAAGCTTGATTTGACTACTTTTGATATCATTAGGTCTGTCTAATCGAGCCGGTCAGTTTGACTATAAGTTTACTAAAATCGAAATTCTAGACGACTCTTAATTGAAGTTTGAATGTTTCTTACTCAAAAAATTACCTCGAGATTCGTGTCATGCCTTAAGATTCGTGTTGAATGATAAAAATTTGTTAGCGGTATAATACTTCTTTATTGTATTCAAATCATTTTATCTTTGCGTGCTCCTTATCCAAAAATAATATCTCAAAATTTTATTTTTAAAAATTGGTCCTTCTAATTTTGATATAATATGATATAGTAGACTTAATAATAACTCAGATATTTTTCTTAAATAATTTTTTTAAACCCGAAGATACAAATGTTCATACAAACAAAATCGAAATGCTTAATAAGTTAAATAAAACAAAAAAAAAAAAAATCTTTATCTATATAATTGGAAAAAGTCTTCCATTAAAATAATAAATATTTTACAATCCGAGGGAATGGAAATTGATCCGCGAATGAAATGCGCAGGACAGCTTGGCCAATAACAACGCGGGATTTGATCTATAACAGCACTTGAGGCCACGACTCAATATACTGCCAAACACGTGTCACCTTCGCGCCGTTTCTTCCGCGTGCGGACACCAGAGACCTATTACTCATAGAAAAGTGTTTGTTTGGTTCCTCTGTTTCCGCGATTACTTAATAGGGTTTGCGGCCTGCTGGAAGATCTCGCCGCTCAGTGCGAAGGTTTTAGATTCTGATAAGCGTGATTCCGTTTGGCGATTCGAAGATGTTCAACTGGAATGATCAGTACCAGGTTAACGATCAGTACCAGGTTACGCTTCCTATCGGTTCTTTTCTTTTTCGTTTTTTTCTGCAGCTCTGATTCGATTGTTTGCGATCTTTTTAGTGATTTTTGTTGTGGATTTCTGGATGGGGGATCTTTAGGATTGCTGTTTAGTTTTATTATTATTATTATTTGTTTAACTTTTTGTTGGTTCATCTACTGTGCTGATTGCCCTGTTTCTGGTATTAGATTTTAGGGTTTTGTTTTATTTTTTGGGAGGTCCGTCTTTTGGAGTTTGAAGAACGGGGAAGTTTAAGGAGGATGATTTCAGATCAGTTTTAAGTGGGATGAACAGTGGAGATGTTGATGAGTGGTTTCATTGGACAGGTCCTTCTTGCTTTAATCGGATGTTAGGATTGATATGATATTGGGGATGATTGATTATGTTCACATCTAGCAAGAGGGTTTATGTTTTGATGGTTTATTACCCATTAGTACCGTATCATCAAACTATTGTAAGCAAGGCTTCAATGGTTTTGACTGGCTCAAACCAGAACAGATCAGTAAATCCTTAGAGTGCTGTCAAGCAACTCAAAAGAACAAAGACTTTGCTGCCAGCGTAGTCAAGAAACCCATTCAAGGTCTGACTCATGGTGCCGTCATCTTGATAACTCGTATACATGGTAATTTGACAACTTGCTACTTAAATTTTTTTCTGATTGCTATTATGCAAAGTGATGGGCTGACTTTACATCTATATGGTGAGCACTTTTTATTTCACATCTATGAGAAGTTCATGATGCGGTATGACACAAAATTCAATTACAATATTTTATTTCACACCTAATAGGATTTTGTGCACTTCTTATCTTCCTCTCTCACCACCTCGAAAGAACGTGACAGGCAATAATCTTAAGATGGGGTGATTGTGAAAATAGTGGGGAGAAGGAACCGTGATAGGGTGGCCAAGACAACAATTCCGTACGTGAGGGAAATGTCAACTTCTTCACCTTTGACTAATCATATCTAATAGAGGACTATCTGACTTAGATGAGTTCAAAAACATACTCTCATACCTCAAAATACTTTGGCTACTCTACCATTAGGGCTGTAAACGAAGCGAACAAAAATGAACAGAGCTTGTGTTCGCGTTCGGTTCGTTTGAAATTAAGTGAGTTTGAAATAGACTCGCATTCAAAATTGCTCATGAAGTTACTGTTCATGTTCGGTTTGGTTTGTTTGAAATTAATTTGAAATGTTTGAAATATTTGAAATGTTTGAAAATTTTTTCAAAAGCTTAAATTTGTATGAAATTAATTCTTAAACCTGTATGAATCACAACACAAATGCACAGTAGTCGAAGCACATCTCACAACAAAATCATAATATCAAATCTCATCCATAAAAAAATTTAGATCTAAAGGCAATATGCAAGATTCCACTCCCAAAAACTTCAAAAACTAGGTTTCACTCAAAAAAACTAAATAAATCTAAAAGAAATATAAGAAAATTCAAGATAAGAGGTGAACCTGAAGATAAATATGAAATATTAAAGAAAAGATACTCAAAGATGATAGCTTGGTAGCCTTACAAGCAAACAAGCAAGAATATCGAGCAACCAAGCAAGAATACCGAGCAGTCGATCCAACGCCGAGTCGCCGACTCATCGAGGATAAAGAAACTTTATCGAAGATAACATAAGTAGAAATTAGAGAAAGAACAAGAACGACAAACCCTAAGCTCTCGTGGCCGAAAGCTTTTCGCGATTTTGAGAGAAAGAGAAGAATCAAGAGAAGGGGAGGCGGTCGAAACCTAAAGCTTTCGAGAAGAGAAGGGGAGGCCGATTGGGGTAAAGTGGCTTAGGATTTTTTTTTTGTTTATATATGTAATTTATTAATATATTATATTAATTATATAACTTATATTATATTATTTATACAACTAACATTAATATAATATTATTATTAATTTATTATTTATTAAATTTATAGGATTAATTTTTTAAAATATGATAAATTATATATTTATAATTTTTTTAAATTATTTTATATTTCGAACACTAACAATTTGAACACAATCAACCCCATGATTGTTCGTGTTTGATTCGTTTATAAACTAAACGAAAAAAAAATTGTTCGTGTTCGTTTCGTTTACTTATCGAACAAATCAAACACGAACTCTCTGGCGAGCCGAACACGAATTGTTCTCAAACAACGAGCTCTTTTGACAGCCCTATTTACCATGACACCATTAGCTATGTGTATCATTTGATTTAACTTATTGAAATTTTTTTTTTATTTATCTTGCTTCTTGATGAAGGGTGTACATTTTGCATTAATATAAAATTACAAAAAGAGCTATAAAAGCTACACAAAAGGTCCAGCCTCCACCACTGTCAAAAAGTTGGGGCCACAAATGCGACTCTCCTAAACAGAAGACCCATCCAAGCCATGCTGGGAACCAAAAAAAAAAAAAAAAAAAGATTGATGCATTCTCCATGGAGATTATATGAGAGACGCCAACTCATGATGCTTTGTTAACTCTGTCATAGGTAGCGATTTGGAGATGTTGGAAGACCATCTGTTTCCCACCCAGTTAGCAACCTTGAATGTTGACGACGTTGGCTTCCAGTTATGCACCCTCATCATGTACGCCTAAGAACATCATGACATGAGCTTACACGCTAGACCTAGCAGATTGTGGCATTTAAGCACATTGCTCAACAAAGTCTTTGGTGATAAAAATTCATTGACCTACCCTTGAGTGGCCTTCTTGTCCTCTAGACATTGAAGGAGCAATGAAGGAGATTTTATAAACTCCAAATATGGTTTTCCGATCTCCATTTGAAAATTATGAGGATCCATAAGCAGCTTGCTCATTAACATTAGCTTTTCCTTTGTTATTCTTCGAGTCATCTGCCTTAGATAGTGACTCACTAATGCGGAGCTCTTCTCACAAGTTGTCAACTTAGGACGATGGCTTCATTATAATCAACTTTTCTTTGATTAGTCGGCTTGTTAGCACCATGTTTTACTTCACCATCCATCAAAAATCACACCTAGGATGAAAACGTCTCATTAATGTTGATCTCATCATCACTTTCCCTTGAGATGATGACTTCATGACATCCGCCTCTTCCTAGGAATGATGATATTCCTGATTCATTTGCTCGAGACATTAGCAACTTGGCTAGGAATGTCATCATCGAGAGGGGAGCAAATCCCATCACGGACACAGTAATTCTAGCCAACATCTTGAAAACCAATACACTTGTATTTGGTGTATCTAGAATGGAATCTTCCATCACACCCTCTTCTATGTGTTCTCCTCAACTAGTTAATGATCGACTGAATTGGTTTGCCAAGATAGTTATCTATTGAGATTTCAGAGGAACGAATGAAAGCAGAGCCCAAGGTTGAAAATGATTGAGAATGAAAACCAATGCCTTCAAAATTTATATATAAAAGGATCGGAAGTCAGAGGAACATAATGAATGTCGACTGTTGAGTGAAACTTGAGATTTTGACAAACCTAATTATTTTGTTGGTCGCGAAATGTGAGTTTTTGACAAACCTAGTTTTTTTATTCTTCAAGATACATGAGATTTGAGGAACAATTATTCATCCTCTGCTTGCCCAAGCCAATATAGCCAAATTGAGTGAAACTCACCTATGTTAGCAGAGTCGCACTCTGAACCCTGATCAAGTCAAAAATCTCATACCGATCAGTTGAGCAACTTTAAGCTATAAGATTGGCATTATCATGCCCGGTGTTCCACCAGTAAAGTTTGCGTGGTTGTATAAAATTTGATGAATGCTTCGCCTCATTATGGATGATAGTCCATCTCATATGGTGTGTAAAGAGAAGTCATGTTGTGTAACTGGTTTAATCTACCTTGTGTGCTTGCTAATATAGAAAAATAATATTTTTTTTGTGGCATTTACATTCATACCACACAATTCTTATATTTTTACATATCTAAATCCTAAAGGATCATATTTACATGCATACCACTCAAATCTTTAACATCACATCAAAAATACCACCAACATTTTCTTTTTAAAGTTTAAACACACCTTTTCATGCATCAGTTTATAACATCAAGGTGTTTTAAGTGTAAATATCAAACTTGGGTGTTAGATATGTATGCTAAGAATTGTGCAGCATGTAGGTAAATTTCCCTGTTCTTGTACTATCATTTTACTCTTGCGTTCTTGAAGCATTTAAGATATTGTATGTAACAGCTGTTAAACTTTCAGGTCGGAGTTCCATTATGGAACAAATCTAAAAAGAATGAAGATCAAATTTTGCCACTATCAATGAATGAAGGAAATAGTTTGCTCACATTTGGAGGGTGTAGAAAGACGGAAAGAGATGAAGCTAGGAACACTGAATGGTCAAAGTCCCAAACATCTGGAGCTAAACACGACTTTCTCAATTGCGACATGGAGTTGAGATCTGATAATTCATGTCAAGATTGTAATAATTCAAGCCTTCAAATGGATTCATGGCCTGATTTGCCCTACTTAAGCAGCACTCTTACTGGTGGAAGTGATCAGGATTCTGTGTTGACTGAGTTCATGAATGATTTTGCTGATGCATCTAACCTGTACCCAGGAGTGGGAACCATGGCTCGATATAAGAAATCTAACGAGCTGTTTCCTAACATGGATATAGTACCTTTAAGCAAACCGTGCAGTCTTTCTACTGGCGATGCAATGCAGGTGGATGGTGTGCCTGAGCCGCTCGGCCATGCTGATGAAGGAGATGACAGCTTCTTGGACTATGATTGGGCTGATATTGAAGATTTGGATGATTTTGATAAGATGTTTAAGTAAGGGCTTCATGCTTGAATCTGCCAGTCTTGGTTTTTATGTTGGGGAATTTACATACTCACCACACAATTCTTATGTATTTACATATCCAACACAGAAATTCTAATATTTACATGCATGCCACTTAAAACTTAACATCACATCAAAAATACAACATCACTGTTTTCTTAAAAGTTAAACACACATTTTCATTCACAAGTTTATGACACTATAGTGTTAAGATTGTAAATATCAAATTTTAGGTGTTAGATATGTAAATACATAAAATTTGTGTGGTTTGTATGTAAATTTCTCTTTTTTGTTTTGTGGTGTATGATTATCAATTTAAGAATTCTTACTATTCATTGTTTTATTTTGAATTTTGATTGGTCTTTATCTGCAAACTACTACAGAAACAATGATTCCATTTGTAGATACGAGGAAATCCACAGTGAAAATTCTCAGTTAATTGCAGGGCCTGTAAGTTTCAACATAGCAGTGCATTTTACAAACTAATTTTCACTTTATAATGTTAATTTTGAGAGAAAAAGATGATCATTCTGGTTTCTTTGGTTTATAGGGTGTGCTGATCTCCATGGAACAGTCCTCTGAACACTCTGACGCAAATGCCAAATTTTTGCTTACAAAGAAGGTGATTTGTTGACAACTTTTGCTTATTCGCTTTGACTGAGAGCAGATCTTACCGTTAAAGCTGAAGGGAAATCAAACGTATTGAATGCATTTATTAGCATGAAATTTGTGAAATTCGAAGTTAGATATCGGACAAGATAAATTTTAAATTACTTCTGATCTGCATGCTCATCTTAAACATATTAAAGAAAAGGGGGCATTTAAATGCATACCACCCAATTCCAACCTATTTACATATCTAGCATCTAAACTTTACTTTTTATATCTATGCCACACAAATCTTTCATATCACATAAAAAATAGCACTATTTTAACTTTTAAAATGTGAAATACACCTTTTCACGTATAGGTAAGATGGTATACAACAACAACAAAGCCTTAATCCCACTATGTGGGGTCGGCTACATGATTCCTTTTTCTCCTTTGTGTCCTATTTAGTGTCATATTTTCATTTAGTTCTAATAAATTAAGACCATTTTTTATACAATAAGCCCAAGCCTTCCTAGGTTTACCTCTGCCTTTCTTAGATATGTGTAACATATGTATGTAAAAATTGAAGTTTGGGTGTTAGATATGTATATACATTGGAATTGAGTGGTACGTATGTAAATCTTCCTAAAAAAAATGTTGTTTAGTAGAAAAATAGTGCCCATGTTTCTTCATAGCATGCTGTTATGACCTTAGTAACCATGAAGATGTATACCTATAGAACATGGAGTTTGAATTCTCTATTTAAGTAAAATTCTCCTTCTTTCACTCTCCCTTTAATGGTCTTGTTGGGGCTATAATTACAATGTAATTAGAATACTCATGTTGCTGCTCGTCACCTCTGCAGGCAGACAGGCAGAGCCAAACTTGGAGATCACTGGAGGAAGAAGAAGGAAAGGGTGCTTCTTTTCAAGGTCAAAACTACTCCTATTGTTCTGAAAAGCAACAAATGTCTAGCTCCGGAGCGCAAGTTTCAAATCTGAATCCTTCGCATATTATTCAATCTCCACCTTTGGCCCAAGTAAGGTTTTTTTTCATGGCTTCTTGTTTTCTGAATCTGAATACGCTAGAAAATTACCACCAGTATGTGTACAAAGCATCCTGCATAAGCCTATAAATGATGTTTTTAAAGCTAACTTGAACCACTCAAACAACCATAAAATATCAAATAAAACAGAAGTAGCTGTACCACTACCTCAAGAGAAGATTGAAAAGCTTAAAAGGTGGCAGAAAATGCAGGATATGCTTGCAATACAAAAGCTGTGTGAGCAATATGGTCTTCAAATCTACATCACTGATGATAATGTGTCACAGGAATGTTCAAGTAAGAACCAGACCCAGGATGCTACCACCATTGATTCCACGGAAGAGTATAAATTAAATCAGTCAACACCTGAAGTTAGCTATCTGGAAGAGCAACATCAGTCTCAGGTGATGTCTAAATCAATCAATGGCCGCTCCATAGAAGTAGCCATCTACCATCAGCTTCAATATACTCTGCAAAAGGTCTAAAGTCTGCTTTTTGTCTTCATGTCATACTAGAGATACCAAGAACTTGAATTTAGGGATGAAATCTGTTTTTTTTTTTTTTTTTGCAGTTAGATTTGAGAGTTAAGCTCAACATTCGCAATAGCTTATTTCGATTAGCCAGAAATGCCAAGGATAGATTGAGTTCCAGCGACAGAAGTTGTGCTGACATGAACAATGATGAATATGAGATTTCCATGGATGAAGAATCAAACAATCATGACAGGTCTTATATTATTTTAAAAAATAAAACATAAATTTCTTCACATCTAGTAATATAAGAACTTGCATCCTACTTATTTTGCAGATTCTCCAGTATTCCAGACTCAGAGAGATTTACCAATCCCATTGACCGGATCGTTGCCCACCTTCTCTTTCACAATCCTTCTGGGTCTTGCTCACTGCCAATTGGAGACGGGAATGTGCCCATGGCCACCTCCATGTGAATCCGGTAATCTATTGTTCTTGAAATCTTTTAGAAATAAGCCTGAGTTCATGGAAATAGTTTGTGTATATTTTTTTGACTGCAATAGTAAAGATGTATTTAGAAAATTACCTCATGTATTCTGCTTACAAACACATTTCCATGTCCCTTTTAGTCTTTATCTTTTCTCTGAAGGGGACTGTAATCTTCATATATTTTTGTGCATGCTTATATGATTGGTGGTATAAACACTCTTCATAACTTGAATAAATTTCCAGAATTTGAGTGTTAGTGGCTGAAACTTTGATGAGAAGTACAAACTTTTAAGATGTTTATACATTTTTGTTGCCAAGTGTGAGTGGTGCCATGTTAAATTGTCACTTTAGATGCCTTTTATTTGGTTATAGAGGAGCATGAAGAATTCAGCAGGAGGGTAGGGGATTGAGAAAGATCAACTGTAATTAGCAGCTGGAGAGTAATATTTACAAAAATTTTTCTGATGGTTTCTTATGATTATTTTGGATTCATATCTAAACTAATCTTAAAGTTGGATTAAGATTAATGAGTTTATTACTTTAGATTTGGATTCCGAATTAGGCATTTTTGAGAAATTTTTGTTTGTCTTTTTCTAGATATTTGATTTGATTAGAATCTACTTTACGAGTAATATGAACCAATTGAGATATTTTGTGAATTTCATTGTATTATGAACCGACAATGGCATAACTGTTGAATCTATGCAACAGTACAAGGAAAAGGTTTTAAGACACTGTAGTGTATAAGCTCCAACAACTCCACATGCACAAGTGAGAAATAAATTTTCATAATTTGTTTTATCAAGCTACAACACTTTTTAGAAAACAATTAGTGGTCAATTCTATAACAAATCTCGAAAGAAACATCTTTAATGATGAAAGATATATATTCTTTGCTCTACGAGTAAGAAATTTTTCTAGTTATTTGCATAAAAGAGACTTATTAATTTATCCAGGCTCTTCACAAAATCCTAAATTCAGGAAGATCTAGTTATCCAGATCACATATGCACAGAAAGTTTCCCAAATTAATATAATCTTAGGCATGAATGCTTGGCAACAACTGTTGAATGTAAAGAGGGCTGGTAGATAACTTCAATTAGGGATGAAAACTGCTAAAAACTATTGACTAAATGAAAGTTGATTCTCACCCCCCACGGGGAATTCCATGCAAATTTGGTGCCACAACTTGTCTAAATGATTGTCGCATCACACTTCTAAAAATGTGTCATACCCATGTCAGACAAGTATCAAACACTGATATTTGTCCAATAAGCCCCGACACTTGTCCGACATTATGAAATATGTATCAAAAAATTTTTCGTGCACTCGAACACATCAGGGATATGCCTCAACACCTCATAGGACACGAGCTCTACACAATTTGGGGAAAAGCATGACACAAGAAATAGAAATTTATAAATATATGTATAGCCCTAATTATAACTAGAGTCGAAGCCGCCTCCATTCCTGTCATGTTTAAACTCCCTCTAATATTCACCAAAATCGAACATCAAATGTGCATCCAATATTTGTTGAAGACAATCATTAGCAGTTCTCTCTTTTACTTGTCGAAGCTGAGAATTAAAAAGTCCATCCTACATTTGTCGAAGCCGAGTGTTGTAGTTCTTTCTTGTTCATCGAAGCCGAACCTACTCCCACTAAAGTAGAATCAATACACTTCTTGTCACGACCTGAGCAGGATTCAAATATGTTTGTTGAAGTTGATTCAAATTCCTCACAAACTTTGTGATTCTTGCACCGAAATTTCTACTCGTCAAAGCCAGGTGGAGTCAAAGCAGTCCTAATTTTAAGCGATAGTTTATAACTTTTGTACTCTTTAATGAATTAATACTTTTTTATAGTTCTAATTGTTAAATTTTAACTTAATTAATTAAATAAGAATGATATTTTAAATTTTACTGGATATGTTGGACGAATTTTAAAAAAAATATATATTATATTTCTAATTTTGAAAATTAATTTTTATATACATGAGGTTTCATATACAAGTTATATTTATAAAAATAAATTTAATTCTTGAATGATTTTTTTTTGTGGTCTTTAACAAAGAATAATAGAAAAAAAAATATTTTATATTAATAATTAATAAAATATTAAATCATTTCCCTATTGTGTCGTGCCCTATTTTTTTTTTTTCAAATGGAGTGTTTCTATATTGTGTCGTGTCATGTTCGTGTCATATTCGTGTCCGTGTTTCATAACTTAAAGAACATCAAGAGAGTTATCAATGAAGCAATAAGGTCGTGTACATTGTTCGTTTGAGGATTGCAGGCTGGCTACACAACATGAAAAATATGGGTACAACTAGTGGTGTCAAGGTTGTGGTCAAGCATTTGTGGATAATGAACTTCAACTTGATGTTAAGATTCGCTCTATAGGTGTCTCAGAATTGGCTAGCCCCAACATGGAATTGAGCTTGGGAGACATACTACATCATGCTAATACAACATTGTTTGTTTGGTCGCACATAAGAATTGGAGGATCTTAGTTTGGAACCACTCAGTCATGTTAACACGGTCCTTTAGGGACAGGCTTAAAAATTTTAGATTTCTTTGATTGAACAATTGGTTCCCAAACTTATGAATGTTAGAGTGGGAGGCTTTGTTTTCATTGACACTTTATCTATTAGCTATTGGGCATGTGTTTGTAGAGTCTGTGATGGTGAGGATGGTGAGTTTTTTTTTTTTGCATACTTAAAAAAATTGCTCTGTTAAAGAGTAAGTTTTTATGCCTTAATGTTTTAGACAAATTTCACACAACAAAAGCTTACAGGAGGCTCATGCAAAATTTATGAAGGAGAAAAAAGTCGAAGGGCTGGGCATAACTAAAACAATTCATAGTATAATTTGATGATTACAAAAAATTTATGCTTCTCTTCTACTTGTGTGATCAGGATTATGAAGTATCTATTATCATTTTGGTCTCTTATAGAGCGGTCGAAATTACTTTGAAAGTCAATTGCCGTTAAAGGCAGCCAAACGTTCATGGTTAGGCTATGATAAATGCCATCATTATTTTGCGATCAATGGTGAAAGTCGAGCAATAGAGAATGCTAGCAATCAATGATGTTGATTAACAAACAGCTCAATGATTAGACGGGAATTACATATTCTTGAAATTAAATTCGACTTTTCTAATTTAAAAAGGTTAGAATACTTTGAGATTTGATAGTTATGCCATGATTCATGTTGATTAAATGAATTTTTTGGAGTTATGTTAAGCGTTGTGAATGTACATTGGTGTTTGCTGATGATATCCTTCTTGTGTATAAGAAAAAAGAAAGGGTTCAGAAAAAACTTGAATTATGGAGGTTTGCTTTTGAGTCTAAAGGCCTTCGTTTGAGTAGATCTAAAATTGAATACATGAAATGTAATTTTAGTAATAGTAAATCTAATGGTGGAATGGTAACAATGGATGATCAACTCATTAAAAAGAGTGGATGTTTTAGATATCTTGGGTCTATTGTTCAAAGTGATGGTGATATAGATGGGGATGTTATTAATAGAATTCAAGTTGGTTGGTTGAAATGGTGCAATGCATCGAGCCTATTGTGTGATAGAAAGTGCCCTTAGACTTAAAGAAAAATTCTATAAGATGGTGGTGAGATCTGTATTATTTTATGACATAGAATATTGGCCTATAAAAGAGAAGCATAAAACTAAGTTAAGTGTTGCTAAAATGAGTGATTAGGTGGATGAGTAGCTTTGCAAGAGACAAAATGTGAAACTAATATATCCATGAAAGGGTTGGCGTAGCTCCCCTGGCAGTTAAGATTAGAGTGAGTCGTCTTAGATGGTTTGGTCACATTAAACGTTGACTATCTGATGATCACGTTAGAAGAGTAGATGTTTTAGATTCGACCTATGTTAATAAAGGTAGAGGTAAATCAAAAAAATTCTGGGCATCTTGTATAAAAAATGATATTAATTTAGTGGAATTAAATGAAAATATGACACTTAGTAGGACACAATGGAGGCAACAGGATTCATGTAGCCGACCCCACTTAGTGGGATAAAGGCTTGTTGATGTTGATGTTGTTGTTGTTGTTGTTGTTGTTGTATGTTAAAGCTTGTGAATGAATTGCATGTTTCTCTCTTTTTTTTACCTTTTCTTTTTGTGAAAAAAAGTAGGTACAATAAGTAATTGATGACATTTGAAAGTCCTGAAGCAATCATAAGTAAAAAAAGAAATTTGAATTATGAAAGAGTAATGTGAAAATAGTTTTATAAAAACAATTTTATGTGCACTTGTATTGACAATTTGTAAAACAAAGATGGGACTTTGTGAAGGTTGAAAGGCAACTAAAAATGTACAGGGCTGCACATAGATGACGACTCTCTACATTATAATTTAATCTCATTAAATTTTGTTACAAAGTTAAAACCTACTACATGAATTTATTTTATGTATTTTTATACATTCCCAAAATATCTATCTAATAGTTATAAGTTTATTATCTAGCCCTCTGAATATGATATAAAAAGATGATTACATGATGTTGAAGGACAGTAATCGTTCTCCTCCATTCGAAAAACATTGAGGTATAAATGGAAGAGGTAACCGATAACAAGTTCAAGAGTTCTATTGGCTGATGTCATACTAAAAGCTTTCTATTTGGCGTTCAAGAACAAGCACTAAAGTCTCAATGGTGATAGTTTGAAGCCGTGAAACTTCGTAAGAGCTCAACAATTATCATAGAAGATCATAATTAATGAGTGATTTGATATAGGATATGTCAAACTTTCTTATATGATGGATTATGCTCATATTGTGTCTTTGCATGTGTGTGAGAGAGAGAGTGTGTATGAGTAAGAAAGAGAGTGAGATATAGAGCAAGCATTTGTGTTATGTGTTTATCTCTCAAGTTACGAATATTCCTTTAGATGCGATCATGAACATATGTTGAACTCATCATACTACATAGTCTTATGTTATATTTTATGATATTTGTCCTTACAAATCATTTTTTCATTCTCATGAACATTACAACTCTTTGATCATGCATTTTTTTGAATAGCTATTTAAACGGGCCGAATAAAGATGTCAACTCTTTAATGACTCATTTACACTTTCAACTTGAATCAATTATTTAAAAGGTTATATTTGGATGCTGGAATTTGTGTGTAAATAGCTATAAAGTGAATATAAATTTACCTGATTCCTAATTAAATTATAAAATACGTATATTTATCATTGTCTTCACTTTCCTCTGATTTGAACATAACAACCTCAACAAAATCTGAAATTATTTCACCCATATGACAAAAAAATTGCAATTAATTAACTTAATATTATAACTTTTGGTGATGATTATAAATATTGAATTTTCATAATCTTGGTTGAAGGACAAGAAATCTGTATGAAATATGTTATAATGAAAAGGCCATTTATGTACTAAATTCATTAAATTAAATTGTTAAACATCATATTGGATGTCACCAACCAAAAACAGCCTTAAGCTATCTATTTTAAGGTTTGACTTTCCTTTCATTGACAGCAGCATTGCGTATAGAATTCAGGCCTTGGAGAACTACCAAGACGGCACTTTTTGCAATATAATCCGGAAGTTTTAGAATTTTATATATGTTCTTGAACTTTTCGGTAAATTATAAAATGGCATATACATAAAAATATAAATTATTACATAAATATTAATGTTAACTTTAAGTATAAAGCCAATTTTCTCTTGAGATTAGATTGAAAGGGATGTAGGGTTGTATTGACTTGAGATCAAATCATAAATCATTAATAGCCTAAGTTATAAAATATAATAATAAGTGGAAAAAAAATTAAATTAATTATAAATGATTATAAAAGAAACTTAATAAACCAAATCTATCTGTTAGATCCTAATTTGTCCATGGATCCACACCATAAAAAAAATAGTTAAAGTAAGAAAGATTTTGAGCCAAGAGAATAGATAATAAATGAGAAAAAAAATGTGTTTTTTTAACATCTGGTGATCCTCCCTTACATTACAAATATGACTCATATTTATAGAGGGATTAGATTATGTGTTGCCAAATAAGAACTCATTACACTCATATCCAAAGAGATCTCTGTTCTATTTCGTCTCGTTATAATTAATATTATCATGGTTCTCCTGCATGGGTAATCATTCCTTATTAAATATCGTTCCTCGAGTTTAATCTACTGGTGACGCCAATGTCACTCAACCATGAGGTGAGTTGATCTTCTTAGGTGAGCTGATCTTTTTAGGCGAGTTGATCTTATGGGGAGTTCGACCAACTCACCGTAGTATGGGTTGAGATTCTTTGGTAAATTATTGAGTTGTTTCAGTCTGGTCGGACATTTGTGCACTAATCAATTAGGCGAGTCATTGGACATGACTTTTTGATTGAGCCAATTGATTGAACTGTCTAGCCAGCTCGGCTAACAATCTCTTTTCATATCTCGTATTTGCCCTGGACCTGGCCTATAAGCTTTTGGCCATCTACTAGCCAAATCACAATTTGTGCAAAAAAAAAAGAAGAAGAAAAACACACACTAATAAAATGAAAAGAATAATTAACATAGCTTTAATATGAATGAATGAAGAATGAAGATTGATAAACTCTTTAAATTGCTAAGAAAATTCAATTATCATGATGATTAGGGGTGTAAACGAGCCGAACACGAGCGAGCCATCCTCAGCTCGTGTTCACACGAGCGAGCCATAACACGAGCGAGCCATCCTCAGCTCGTGTTCGGCTCATTTATATTTCGAGCTCAAAAAGTGTGTTTGTGTTCGGCTCGTATGCTTAACGAGTCGAACACAATCCTGTCACCAACAAAGAGTCATTTTAACAATCTTAATCATGTAACCATAAGACAACAAGGGTTTGAGCAAGATTTAAAAATTATTTTTATATTAAAACATAACTTGAATCAAATTTAATAATTTTTATTCTATTTTCTTAATCAATATTTTAATTGATTATAAATATTTGTAGTCTTGTAGTCAATTAAATTTTTTTAAAATACTACTATATATATATATAAACTTGATGAGTAGTATTTCGAGCCAAAAAGAGCCGAACACGAATGAACACATCTTAGTTCATATTCGGCTCGTTAACTTATCAAACGAAATTAACGAGCCGAACACGAGCTTCTTAACGAGCCGAACACTAGCTGTTCGCGAACAACGAGCCGTTTTGACAGCCCTAATGATGATAAGTATAAAATTTTCTCCAATCAAAAGAGCAACACCTTAAGAATAAAAGAAAAAAATAAAAAATCATGACAAAATTGGTGAAAGCTAAATAAATAATATTATATAAAAGATTTTTTGCCTTTTAGGCAGTGTTTGGTAGCATACTATTAACAAGATTTTTAAAAAAATGAAAACCAAATCCAACGCCCTATTAAATTGAATTTTGTCATGTTCCGCACATTTCGTCTCCTTCACGATGTAAATCTGGATTTAATAAATCTGATTGCAAGACTGATTTATTCTATTGTCGCTCGCGAGCTCCTCTGTTGTACACTAAATTTGATAAATTCGAGTTTATGGAATTTGATAAACTTATTTAACGTAAATATAAGCTTGAGCCAAACTCCGCCTTAATGTAGTGAATTATGAAGGATCTTTCCACTTCAGCAATTTCTTAAGCCATCAAAGATCCATATAACATGAGGTTTATTCAAAACTTTAAAAAGGAGACATCAATCAGAACCATTATAAAAAGATCATCACATGGATCTATCACTTTAGTCATGTGAAGCCACACCCTAAGTTGTACCAGAAATATATATACAAAGTTGGAAATTTGGAAAAAGCTTGCAAGGAAAATATTCTGATTGTGCAGCTTTAGAATGAGGGTAAGTTATCAGATACCTTGCTGAAAGCTGAATAGAGAGTAGGGCTCTAAATGGACCAATGCATGCTACGAATAACTCAAACTCAGCTTGATTAATACTCGTTCAAATTCGTTCAAGTTAATAAATAAACAAATTTAAATAATTTTTTAAAAACTAAAAGGCTAAACAAATCAAACATAAACATGGCTCAAATTGTTTATTTACGTTTACAGATAAACTCGTTTATTGTTTAACAAATAACTTGTCGAATGTTCTATAATAAACTTGACAATCGCTTGTATCATATATAATATATTCTTAAATAATATCTGATTAACTAAAACTTATTTAATTATATATTTAATATAATTTAATATCAATATTCATATACATTAAATACAATTTTTTTTTAATTTCAATAAAATATTTTGTTAGTACTTATTTGTAATGATAATATGGCAATACGTTTATAATTAAAAACTAACTATTTATTTAAATATTTAATTTGTTTATTAATTAGTTGAAGAACTTGTTCAATTAATATAAACAAATAAAGTGTAAATCAAATATGATTATTAAAATTTAAACTAGTATATGAAAGCTCTGGTGGAGCACAAGCCACACATGAATAACTTACAATATGACCGGATCACACCAAGGCCAATTCATGACCAGCTCATTTTAAACCTTAATAAAGAGTAGTGAAAACTGACAATAAAATTAGCAGTTAGTTTCGGTTCCTGCCTTTTTTTTTCCAAGCAAAAAAAGGAACCATGTTCATAACCAAAAGCTTTCAGAAAGATTTTTAAGCTTTCTGAGATCTCAGAAAGAAGAAATCTGTCTAAAATTCAGAAAGATGGAAGCTTTTCAACAAAATTGGAAGCTTAGGCCTTGTTGGGTTCTGCTTTTGTTTTTCTAAAAATTTGTTTAAAAGCTGTTTTATCAAAAAGAAACTTGTGAGAAGCACATTTAGGAAAGTATATCAATCAAATGAAGTTGAAAATGAGCAGACTATTTTCCATGAAATGGAAAGTAGTTTTAAAGCTTCTCCAAACAAAGCCTTAATCTCGCCATCAAAATAAGGGTAAGAAGTGGTATCAAAAGCCTGAAACACTGGCGGAAAAAATTAGAACCAAATCGATGCATTTGATTGTTGGTTCATGCCTCTATAAACAAAATCAACGAAATAATTTGTCTTTATTCTGCACAATCAAAGCTTTTACTTAAAAAAGCCTGGACTCAGACACCCTCTTGAAGGATGACGGTCCGGAGGCTGTGTGATCCGCGGCGGCGTGGCCTCATCCGAACCATCATCCGGATGTTTGGTCAGCTGCACGTAATAATTTTCCCCTGGGGAGCTATAGTGTGGCAAAATAGCATTTTTTTTAATATTAAATTAACATTCTGCTCATCTATACAAGATTCTAAACCATCACATGTATTTTTATCAAAACCATTACCCAAAATCACATAAAAGGATTGTATGATAGGTGATTTAAGTAAAATCTTGAAAAAATGACAATTTTAAATCTAGGATTTAGTAAAACCAGTTCTTTCTCGATTTCTACTCAGTTTTTCCTTAAATCCTGGATTTACTGCATCCTTGTTAGCAGGATTTAGTAAATTTGAATTTACATGATTTACTAAAGCTGCTAAAACTGTTACCATACAACCCTCGCAAAAAAACATTCAAAACATAAACCCATTCAGTCACAGAAAACAGCAGATCTGAAAAAAAAACTGAACATATGTACAGCTAGAAAAGCGATAATCATACAAATTACAAACCCATAACCCAGGACACATTCATCCTTCTCCAATTTAGGCACAAACCCTGCATCAATACCCAACTCAATAAAACTGAAATCTGAATACTTACTGATTACAGTCAACAACATATTATAACTAATTCCCCAAAAAATAAGAACTTGAAACATACCACAATCAAAATACACACAGTTTCATTTCTTCACCCCCTCAAAATCGCTCTTTTTTTCTCAGCCGAATGAAAACGCAAGGCAGCTTCCGCACCGCACCAATCCATTCTCATTACAATCCTCACATCGCCTCATCCTCCCTTCTTCTTCCTCAAACACCTTCCTGCTCCCTCTGCAACTCCCACACGGCACAAACCTCACGCCACCGCATCCACCGCACACAAACGCAGGGTCCTGACCCGGAACACCTTCAAGCAACTTCCCCATCTCACCCGCCTCGTGAAGCTGCCTCACCTCCTCAGCGCCGCCGATGTGTTTCCCACGCACAAATACTTGAGGCAGAGCTACCGGCCGGCTCTTGGATCCAAGCAGCACCTGGAGCTCGTGCCGGAACGCGGCGTGGATGGAGACGTCGCGCTCGTCGACGGCGACGCGGAGACCGCGGAAGATAGCGCGGACGGAGGAGCAGTCGAGGTGCGTGCGGCGGATGCTGCGGAGAGAGGTGGTGTAAATGACGACGCGGGGATTGGAGGTGGAGAGAATGGGGTTGTCGTCGGCGAGAGTTTTCCAGAATGGAAGAGAGGAGTCGCGAGCACGGCGGTGGAAGGTGTGGTGGTAAGTGATGGAGCGAGTGAGGAGGAAGGGTTTCTTGGCGGCGTCAATGGCGTCCATTGGAGATGGGGAAAGAAGGTTTCTTGATGGGTTGGAGGAAAGGGGAAAGGGGAAAGGAGGGGTTTTTCTGGTTTAAAAATGGTTAAACTTTGGGGAGGAGGTGTTGGGGTTGGGGAGCAGGGGAGGTGTTTGGTGAAAGGGAGCTTTGGATTTGTTCGTGAGGGCACATTCATGGTCAAAAATATAATAAAAATAGCAAAATAACAAATTGTTCAAGGTACTTACAGACATAATACCTTTTTTATGTACTCATTTATAGGTAAAATGATATATGTGTAAAAATTAAATTTTAGGTGTTAGATATGTAAATAAATATGGATTGAGTGGTACATATGTAAATTTCTCAATAATAAAGCAAGTACATGCATGCCACTTATAATTTTGTTATTTACAGAACTAACATAAGCTGTCATTCATTTTTCATACTCTCACTCAAATATGAATGCAGAGATTCAATAAAAAAAATGCTGCGATTCGGCATTTCAAAAGAAAAAGACGAAGATGTTTGTTTTTTAAATAAATTTGTGAGTGCTGTACATGTAATCATTCATTCAAGTAGAGGTGTAAATGAGATGAGTTGAGTCGAGCTCAAGTCTTGCTCGGTTTGAGCATGAACTTGATTAACTAATCGAGTTTAAGCTCTAGTTTAGCTCAACAAATTTGCTGGTTTTTTCATTATAAAAGAAAGATAAAAATATTAATTAAGCTATCATTAATAGGTTATTAAGATATCAAATATGATTTATTTCATTTTAAAATATAAAAAAATAGAAAGGATCTCAAACTAAGTATTTATTGATAAGCTATTTACTCAAAAGATTTATCATGGCTTATCTCTCATCCAATCCCATTCACATGAGGGCTCTTTCACGGTAAAATCACACCTCAGCAAATTTTGGATTTTTTACATTTTCAAACGTCATGCATTAGTAGCATGCTTGACCGCATAAAAAGAAAATTTGTGAGTCATCATTTTTATGAGTTATGCAAAAAAATGATCACAACAAATTTCTTTTTACTATTTATTGAAATAGAAACTGTTGATGTGGCACAGTCAAAGGAATAAAAAGGAAGAGAAAAAAATAAGAGAGCACGTTATCACCTCCCAAAAGAGCTCTTAGGGGTGGTAAGCAGCCCGGGACTTAAATACTGTTTTTCGAACCTACACCTAGCCGATGTGGGATTTTTTGTCCGTGATATTCTCCTCCACCCAATCACGTGACACACTCGTCACAGATTGACTCCACCGAGGTTCCCACTGGACCATGGAGAGTCCACACACCTGACAGACAGTAATCGGCTCTGATACTACTTATCATCTCCCAAAAGAGCTCTTTGGGGTGGTGGGCAGCCCAGGACTTAAATACTGTTTTTCGGCCAAACACCTAGTCGATGTGGGACTTTTTTTTCCGTGACAACGTGCTATAATATTCAGAGCGGTAGAATAATGAATTATTGTCTTAGCATTGCACGAGAATTCAACACACACTCAAGTAAAAGAAAATAGTCAATAATGACACCATAAGTTTTTTATGTGGAATACTCGTAAAGGGAAAAATCACGGAGTTTGACCCAAATGTAAAAATTCACTCTATGTTAATAATTACAGAGTTCAATTGTCCCACGAATGAGAAATTGTTACTAGGTTTTCCAAGTTACAATATCGTCTGAAGGTTTTAAGTCGGTGGTGGTTGACAACATTAGTGCTCGATGGCGTTCGGTGGTTGTCAGCGGCGGTGGGTAGTGGTCGGCGGCAATCGACAGCGGTTGAATACGGTCGATGTCGATGACGGTTAGTGTTGGTTGACGACAACATTAGTGCTCGATGGCGGCCGGTGGTTATCAACAGGGTCGATAATGGTCGGCGACAGTTGTCGGCGGCCGACGGCGATCGACGATGATAAGGGTTGTGTTGGACTTTAGCTCCTTCTCAAAACATTAATATCTCTCTCAAGCTTCAACCCTCCCCTCTTGAGGATGATGGAGCTATATTTATAATATTCTATGGATAATTAATGCATGAATACAAACCCCTTTGATTGAACGGTTCAGAAGGCTTCGATGATGATATTTGATGGACATCTGAGTGTCATAATAATGTCAGATTTGAGCAATCTTGAGTTCGTTAGATTCGTCTTGTCGAGATTTGTTTAACATTCTAAATATGCCAGAAAACTTTCAATAGTGGTTTAATACTTGATATGAGTTTGATTTTACTCAAATTAGACATTATTGATGAGTTTTTATCAAGGTTTGAAAATTTCTTGTTCAAAAATAGCTTTGAGATCTATGTCATGCCTCGAGATTTGTGTCAAATGATGGAGATCTGCTGAAGATGTATCAAAAATGGAAAGTAAAAGAGTGTAAACTATATTCGAAAATTGACCATCTATTTATAAGCATGAATTCCTCTTTATTAGAATAACGAAGGTTATTATTGTGTTTTACATATGCGAGGCAGATCAACCATTCGGTGGGTTTCTTCCAGGTGACAGGCTACTGTCGATCTGTCTACATTAGGCCGATCGACTAGATTGTAGCCTTTCTAATAACGGAAAATGAGGGGTGAATCAACTGGTATGTCTTCAGTTCGATCGAGCAGATTTCCTCGTCGTGGTCCCTGTTGGCATAAATTTTTCACAAAATTTGGACCACTCTTTCGAATGATATGGAGCATGTAGCGTGCATAATTACCATCCTGTAAATCGAGGAATCCATAACATCTTCCATTGGACATTTCTGGGAATATCAAGGTTTAAGGCGTCACACCCTTGTAGTAATTTGGGGCGCCTGTTGGCAGTGAAATCCCTGATATAGTGCCAATGAATATGCTTATTTTTGAAGTTATAAGACTTTATTTTACTCATATTTAATCTCTCACAGCTTGCAGATCGTCAAACCCTTTAGCAAACGCTCACAACAAAAATCAGGATTTTCAGGCCAAATTGGTGCCCACTCTAGCTGCCTAAACATCCAAATCAGCCCCATGGGGCTCAAAACTGAGAGCCTGGAAATTACACGCCAGACTCGCAGTGCCTAGGCACCCAAAACTGCTTCAAAATGTACTCTTCAACCTGAGAATGCGGAAAGCAGGATGAACCTAATTTATCTTATGAGTTGGATGGAAAAATTGAGAAAATTCTAGTCTTTTTCTGATTTTTCTTCTTCAAAAAATTATTCCCATCCATTATTTAATCACTATTGCTTATTTGTCAACATCAAAAAGACATGAGTGAATGTTTCAATAATTGTTTGGGGTCTGCGTGGGATTCCTTATGCATTTAAATTAATAATGCTTAATCTACTTCTAAGTGAGCAAAACATGTCAGAACTAAATGCTTTCATCAAATATATCTGCTAATTGATCTTCAATATTAATAAATTGGATATGATCGTCCCTTTTACATACATGATTTCTAATAAAGTGATTATGAATATCTATATATCTTGTTCTAGAATATTATATAATATTTGTTGTGATACATGTAACACTAGTGTTGTCACACTTAAGTATGACATAATGATCATTATCAACAATCATGCATGAATTGCTTCATTAAAGGGGACATTGTAGATCTGAGGTGATTATTTGTCTAAGAAGATTATCTACGTCAATCTTAGCTAACAGAGAGTTGTGTGCCCTATCAAATTTGCATTATGATTCATCACTGAAAAGAGGAAAAAGTCATTTGGGAACATATGAGCTACAGTAAAAAGTGAATGCCCCTCATGATCCCCCTTATAAGAAAGACATAAACATAATCTCATCCCCCCTCATTTCTCTCTATAAATAGAAAACCTCTTGGCATATTAAAAGTGACCCTTTAAGCTCTCTTTTCCCTCTCATGTAAGGATCTTGCTCCTATTTTCTCTAACTTGTAACACAAGCTTGTGTGAAATAAAAGGGACCGCCAAGCCCACGAACTACCCCAATTTGCCCCTCGATGGGGCAACCCTCTCTCTTTTCCTCCCTCTCTTTCTCCACCTCTAAGAATCCAATTCTATGCCTTGAGCACGGTCCAGTGGACAGATTTGGATTCAACTTCTCACATCTAGAAAAAAAACTAGCCATAAAGATGACTTCAGAAGTAGGAAAGAAATGGTCAAAGGACCGAGTTATATGAGGTAAAAAGAGATATCCTAAATACTCATAAGAAGATCCATCATAAGAGGAAGCCAAAATGGGTCACGAGCTCCCTCCATCCTTTATGTATAAAAGAACTTGGGGTCACCAACACTGCAATAAAAACTACATAATAAGTAATATGTTGATGATGTTATAGTTAAAGCTACATAATAGGCAATAAAGTGAATAACATGATATATGTGTGTGCGTTTTTTTTTTTTTTTGTTAGATTATGATAAAAATTACAATAACAAAATAACCTATCCATTTTCATCAAACAATAATTTTGTTTTCTACATTGTCATACAATAAGTATATTATAGCATAGATTCTTATAAGCTAAACTTCTATGGACAAACTTGACATTTGGCGCCAAAATAAGCATAGATGTAAACTAATTTTTCTTCTTTCATTTTTTCTCTTTAATTTTCATACCAAATATGTAAGTACAAATTTAGGTCTAGAGTCAACAAATTTCATATAAATGAGTATATGAAATTTCTCACCTAAGAAAATACGGTAGAGAAAAAAATATATATTTTTTTTAACTTGCTTTCCACGGGACATCGTAATTAACATTATTAACCAAGGACACTTATGGAAGTTGAAAGAGTAAAATGATAATTAAAATTTTTTTGCTCAATTAATTATGTTTGTAACTATATTAAGCAACTACTTTAATTTTTATAATCTATTTGTGAGTTGGATGGAAAAATTGAGAAAATTCTAGTTTTTTTTTTCTTCTTAAGAAAATTCTTCCTATCCATGGCTTAATCACTATTACTTATTAGTCAACATCAAAAAGACATGCAAGTGAATGTTTCAATAAATGTTTGGGGTCTACTAAGGATTCCTTATGCATTTAATTTAATAATGCTCACTCTACTTCGAAGTGAGCAAAACATGTCGGAAATACATATATCTGCTAATTAATTTTCAATGTTAATAAATTGAAAATTATCGCCTCCTTTACATACATGATTTCTTATAAAATGATGAACAATATCTACATATTTTGTCCAAGAGTATCATATAATATTTTTTGTGATGCATATAACACTAGTGTTGTCACACTTAGGTATGACATAATGATCATTGTCAACAGTCATGCATGAGTTGCTTCATCAAAGGGGCTATTGTAGATCTGAAGTAAATATTTGTCTAAGGGCATTAATCTATGTCGACTTTAGCTGACAAAGAACTGTGTGGCCTATCAAATGTATCTTATGAACATATGGGCTACAGTCTTAATCATTATATAGTAGAGTCTATTTGTCAAACCACCTGATAGAGTCTACTGGCCAAGCAATCCGATCAAAAGGCTTTTTATGTGAAGTTAGTTGGACAAACCATTTTCTTATATTTTGTTATATTGTTCTCATTGAAGATGTTAAAGGCGAAGCTAATGCTAATTAAAGGATAGCAAATGAACCCCAATGCTTCACTTTCAATTAACGCGCCCCTTGTTGATTTGTTTATATAACTTTACTCCATTTAATGGTTGATATTAGTTTCTCTCGCATAGATTTTCTTTTGGCCAACAAACTTGCTAAAATTTGGTCTTTCTGTTCTTAATTTTTTAGTTTAAGAGGTTTTTAATTAGAACTTTGATATCAATTATTAAGAACGTGATTCAAAATTTAAGCAAAACTTACAGAAACATGAGTGAATAAATAAGTAAATATTATTAAGAGCACAAACACAAAACATAAGTGTTAGCTATGGCTCATATACCATGAATTTGGAGCCACTTAGATATGGAGAGGTGTTGTCTCCTGGAATGAAGAGGTGTGTCGCTTGGTGTGAAGAGGTGTCTCTTGGATTAGTGGGTTGGAGGGGAACGATGACGTGTTTGTAATTATCTGTAGTTTTTATCTATAAATAGATGTGCAACTCTATGGGTATGTAACTCTTCTGAAATAGTAAATTCGCCGCTCTGCTCCCGAGGATGTATGCCTCTGCTCCCGAGGATGTATGCATCTTTGCCGAACCTCGTTAAATCTCTGTGTTCGTTCTTTTGATTTTGTGTCAATTTCTGTGTTTTCTTCGCCCTAAATTTCACAAGAATAAGTTCTCATGTTTTTATTCATACACACATAAATTTAATATTTTACAAAGGTTCAAAAAGTGGGAATATCATTTAATTTTTTTTTCTTATGAACAAGTAGAGATAAGGATAGAAATATCTTTTTGTATGCACTAAAATAGCTAGCATGAATCTCAGAGCAATCCATTGACCAAAGATGAATGTCGAACAATCGAAGCGTCTGACTAAGGGGGCATAATCCGAACCAGCCATCCGACGACCGACTGCTCGATCAAGCCATCCGACATGCAATGTTGGTGAATCCAATCGGCAGACCACGCTTTCTGTCCCGACTACCTAAACTCATTGCAAGGACATCCGGTCGCAACTAATTAACCACTGGCTTTACCTCCATAGGAGCGATCATCATGCAAACAGTCATCTCAGTTGATCGAACTCAAACACGTCTACCAACTGATAGCCGTTGTATTACACTTAAATTGTAACGCATATATGATATTAATTAGCGCATTAATTGCATTTTGGGAAGCTGATAAACGTTCCCTCCTTTTCCATAATTGTACTATTAGATCCTATAAATAGGAGGTATGCATAAAGGACTCTCGAGGCGTGTCCAACCAAAGGACAATCAAGGATTCAACACTCTTCATCTATATCAATAATTAAGAGGGATCACAATCTTTCATAATGAAGATGGGGCTAGGTATAGAGAAGAAAACCACACAAGAACTCTTAAAATCAATAAATGATCTCTTCAATATCTTTACATTAACACAACATTTCCAATATACTCTCAAAACTCATAAAAATGAATTCGTCATACATTTGCTTCTGAAGAGGAGATTCAATTGTTTCTTTTGAAGATTTTTATCTTAAATTTGAATTGCTACATTCATCTCTATTTGAAAATTCTTGCTCTCAACAGAAGGACTGAAAATAGTATGAAAAATATAATATTTGAATATTATTCAAAATATTAATTTTTTTTTCTCTGAATAAAAAGGGGAAAAACAAGCTTATTAATCTGGTTAGGATGATTTATTTTTTTCATCATAAGAAAATATAAAAAAACAACGAAAAAATATGAAAACATTTACATACGTACTACCCAATATGAAAAGTAGGGGTGTTAGATATGTAAATACATAGGAATTGGGTGGTATGTATGTAAATACCCCAAAAATATATGACCAAATGTGTATAACTGCTCTCAAGCAAACTGCACCCAGTCGAATTAGAAGCATAATCCATATCTAGATTGAAGTAGGATTTGCAACATCTATAATAAGAACACAAACTAGCAATTACATATCACATATTGCAAATAAGCTGTCATCGTAGCTTCATACATATATATAGATATTACTAATAGTCTCAGAAGCAGCATTCCTCGCAAAGCCAGCAGCAACAAAGTGCAGCAAGACTGCAAGTAAGAAATTCATTATGAACACCCTGAAGAATATCGGCCCTTTCAAAGCTGGAGAAATGTTTTGTAAGGAATCTGCATGAATGCATGCGGACTCCATATACAATATTGTAGTACACTTTTATACAATATGTGTACCATCACACTATAGTATATAAAATCCGCATGCATAAGAACTTCACATGTAATAATTCCTCTAAAAACTGACTTCATATAAACATTAGTATGCATACAACTCAATTCTCATGTATTTACATATCTAACAAGTAAAATTTTAATTTTTATGCATACGCCACATTACTCATGCATGGAGAGATATGCCTCACTTTATAAAATTTAAAATGAAGCTAACAGAACTTTAGTATGTGTAAGAAAGGTATCAGAAAGTGATCACTTTACCATCCTTCAATGAACCCTTTCTCCCCTCTCTTCTTGCTTCGTTGACAGCATTTCTTCTTTTTCTTTGCAGAAGCTTCAGTTGGATAGCCTGTACAAACCCCATAAGTGCAACCAAGAAAGAAAATATATATTATGTGCCATTATAATTTAATAAATTACCATTTACTCTAAGCAAAATAATAATCATAAGGAAGATTTACAGACATATCACACAATTCTCAATTATTTACACATCAAACACCCAAACTTCTATATTCATAAGAATATCCATGGAAACTTTTAAAGAGTAGGTAGAAGTGATGTTTTTGTTATTGTGAGATTAGTGATTTGAGTTTTATGCATGAAAATATGAAAATTTAGGTTCTAGATATGTAAAGGCATAAAAATTGTGTCATATTTATGTAAATGCCCCTCATGAGGGCTTTCCTTGCTCATCTACCTCACATATGTGAATCAAATATGTCTTTTTATGACTAACCAGGAGGAGGCTGGTTGGCTTTGGTTCCTCTACTTTCAGGTTTATTCATGCTGGTGTTGCTGCAACTTATAACAGGGAAGAAGCTAATATCATATATATTATATATATAAAACTTCTCACCTCTATTTATATGCGCAGAGCTTAAAGCCTCCACCAAGGCATCAATGTCTGAAAAGAAGTAGAAGGTTCCTTCATAACTTTTGGACTAAGTTTAATAATGTTATGCTGATGCTCTATTAAATAAATCATATGTTTTGTTATTTTTTCATTAATAACTGATAATTTATAAAGAGCTTGTGAGAGAGTTTATGATAGTAAAATTCCTAATAGTCATTGCAGAGTGAGTTGTCTTGATTTTTTTTAAGAGGGTCATATGAATACAATAATTTATAAAAATAGTCCTCATATTCTTTCAAAGGCTTATATTAAGAGAATATGTGGACTAATTTGATATTGTTATAGACTAGCATTAAAATGATTCCATGCAAATAGTGTGGGGACTATTTTGACACTTTACTCTTTTATTATAATTACATTAATAATATATATCATTATATTTGCAATTTGATCAATAATCTGGATTTTTCCACTCTTTTTTTTCCTTCTTTTCAAATTAGTCAAGAGCATAAAATTATGCCCACCGGCCTGCAGCTTTTCAGTAGTGTTTAAAAAATATATATATTCGGACAACAATTCCATTGCTATAAATTTATATTTGTAAAAAGCCATGAAGGAAATGGGCAAAGGGCATAATTTTCCTTTGCTTTGAAGGAACTTTTGACAAGGCTTGGTTCCTTTTCCCCTTGCTTTGAATTTCTTATGGATGTCGGCTATCTTTCTCTTCAACAGTTTGAGTTAAGGAATCGGATTCTACTTCTAGTTTACTTTGGCAAATGAAGCTAAGAAAGATTTTTGATTGCATAGAAATAAGAGTTTAGCTCAAAAGTTAAAGATTATTTAAAGATTGTGATGATTTTTTGGTAGGCTTGAGATGAATAAAGCTCACGTTATGAGCCAAAGTATATCATTTACTTCATTAAGAATCAAGTCTTTTGAATGGGTAAGCAAAAATTGTATATGACAAAATGATGGCATCATATTAAAAACACATGAATCTGGTCATGTGTTAGGACGAACCAATTAAGCAAATCAATTGTTTAGCTTTAAAAAGTTAATAGGGTTTAGTCCTAGCTTTCAAAGTTTTGAAACATACTAAATCATAGAAGGAAAACTATAAGACTGTAGAAGATTTGACACAAATAATCAGTACCAAGGTGGTGGCAGGGCTATAGTCACACAAAATTGTTAGAAAGATTTTCGTACATCTCACTCAATTCTTATGAACATACATATCTAACTCCTAAAATTCAATTTTTACATGGATACCACATTACCTATACATTAAAAGACCCATTTCATTTTTTAGAAATTAGAATGAGGAAGAGTGGAGCGACTAGACTTACCTTCCTCAATGTTTTATGGTAGGAGCGGAGTAGAAGGATGAGAAATATGGGAGTTTCGATGGTCCTCAGCTAGCTCAAATGGTGATTGTATTGCGAATGTTTGTTGTCAAAGGCGATGATTTTGAGCAAAACTAGGAGGGGGAGGGGGATAATCGAGGGGCAAGGGGTTCGACTGAGAGGAGGGGGAGACACGGAGAAGAGAAATAAGCAAGAGTTTCGGGCAGAGAGGGGACAAACAGGGAGAAGAGAGATAAGTTTAGATGATGGGATCAAAATTTTAGGGCGTTTGCATCGGCTTTCCGTTGACTTTGCGTCAGACACATTCAACACAATTAAGTAACCGCGAAGGACTTTTTATTTTGTGGTGTCATTTTTGTCGTATTTGTGTCCGGACGCTTTAGAGTACAATATTTGCGTCGAGTTATTAGACGTGAATTCGAAGCAAACATCGTCACAATTCATATTTAGATTTCGACTATTTAGTATATCTTTTGCATCGAATTAGTGAACACAAAGTAGAAGCAAAATCCGACACAAAGTAGAAACAAAATCAACTAATATTCTTAAAATTATTTGTGACATAGAATAGTTAATTCACTAATTCAAGTTTTTTGAAGTAGATGACTCTTAATAGACAACATGGGCCAAAGCTTAATTAATCACTTCAACTTGTCCTGGCCTAAATAAGCCTAGGGGGTTATCTATCCATCTATTCTTGTTGCAAATAAAAATGATTTTAGAAAAAAAGTCTACAATATCCACTTCAAAATCGTAAAATACTTATTAATTCTATGCAGTCTTGAACATTTAAAATAGAGGCAAAAATTTGTGATCGTAGAGAATTCCAAAATTCTTACAATAATTAAAAGTGCAATCAATCATTCCTTATTACTCTAAAAGTTACAATCAATTAGTGTAGTTGTGAATAATGATATTCTTTGACATTTAAACTTGGGTGGAAGTCTATAAGTTAAGTGCGTGAGAGAGAGAGAGGGAGAGGGAGAGATGGTAAAAAATCGTTGACTCCAACTTACTTTATGAAGAGGTAAGAGTGAGGCCGACATAAATATAATTAGCTAATATTTTAAAAAAAAAAGTAATGACAAACTTTCATAATGATTTGTTCATATGCCATACATCCATTGCTTGAGTTGAAAGATAGATGGTCCAATATAAATTATTTAAAGTTCATATTACATTATGTCTTAAAGACACCCTTTCAATGAATTACAACATAAGATATCCAAAATGGGGAGAGGTAGAGAGTGAGATGGAGAGGAAGAGGGGGAGAGGGGGAGGGAGGAAGGGAGATAGAGAGAGAGATAATAGAACTTTGTTACATAATATGACCAATAAATAGTCCATATGTTAAATCTAGCTTGGCAGGGAATAAATTCACCAGCACATGATCGACCTTCAACTTGAAGAAAAAAGAAGATCAAATTGGCCAATTCAAAAATAAGAGCAACCAAAAACATTGAATTCCCATTATGAATAATAAATATCCATAGAAAGTAGATGTTTGATGAAGAGTTGGACATGTCATTTTGGTGCTAGAAACCCTATTAAATCCTAGAGAAGACATGATTTTTGTTGTACAATAAATCTTTTTTAGAGTATTTACCTATGAATATTGAAGTATTGGCACGTCCAATCGAACTTAAGGCAACATTAAAGCTCATAAAATGGACTTGGTTGGTTCGAAGGGACCTTCTAACATACGAGAACATTTGTGGTCATCAAAATGAAATCTAAGAGGAAATGTCTAATTTGAGCTAATTTTGATTAAGCCACATTTTAAAATATAAATCAAATAATTTTTTTTGGCATATCCTAATGTATTAAAATATTCAAAGTTTGATAATACTAAGAGTGGCAAGTTGCTTGTCTAAACTATTTTGAGGCTATTTATTTAGCTCTTATAGAGCTTATCATGAATTTAAGCTAATCAAGATTCATGATAGGCATTAATACCCACTTATTAAACTTCATTCAGACCCACTTACAACATAATATGTATTTTCAATAAATACTAAAAAGGAAAACTTATAATTTTCAGAAGTTATTACTCCTATTTTTATAATTTAATTCATGTGATTTGTCGACATTATAATTTACTGCATACGAGATACTGAGATGGTGCATCTCCTTTCCATTAGGCCCAATTAGCCCGCCAAATTTTGAGCCCATTACGAAAAACATTAGTGGGCTAAACTCACGGGATTTAAAATGTAATCTATCCACATTGGGAGTCCCACTCACTATCAAGACTAATTTGGTAGTAAACATGTTTTAAAAATTAAAATATTTTAGATTTATAAATAGGAATATTTCGGGTGTTATTCATAGGGCTGTAAAAAAAGTTTGTTGTTCGCGAACAGTTCGTGTTTGTTTCGTCAATGAGTTCGCGTTCGATTCGTTCGATTAGTTAAACAAACCAAACACAAACAATGATGCGTTCGTTTGTGTTCGAATAGTTATTGTTCAAAATATAAAATAATTTTAAATAATTATATATGAAAAATTTATGATATTATCAAAAATTAAATTTTATAAATTATAATATATAATAAAAAAATAATAATAATATCTTAAAATACTATATTAGTAATATATAAATATAGATATTATATATTTATATAATATAATTTATATAGTTAATATAATATATTATTTATATATATTAATGTTAGGGATGTTAGACCAAACTGGCTCGTCGTTTGCGAACAGCTCGTGTTCGGCTCGTTCGTTAAAAAACGAACACGAACAGTGACTTCACAAATAATTTCGCACACGAGCTTATTTCAAATAAACTAAATTTCAAACGAACCTCAAACGAGCACAAACTTTATTAGTTCGTGTTCGATTCATTTACACCTCTAGTTATGCATGAATATGATTTTTTTTTTTGGATATTAAATGAATATTAAAATAAAGATAAAAAAACTTCTTTTCAAGCAATACTCCTTATCCTCGCTTCCTGCCCAAAAAACTTACGATCCTCCCCTTCTACTCGGCTTCGTCTCGGGCAAACACCAGATTGTACCTTTTTTAGCCGCTCCTTGTTTGAAGAAGCACATGCCCTCATGTGTTCCTCAGCTCCCGCCACCGTAGCGGGAAGGGCGGCTTCGAAGCCGACCGACAAGATTGCAGCTTTGAAGCCGACGGAGAAGATGGCGGCGGACTTTGTAATCGGCGGTGCTGCCGCTGTGTTAGCGAAAACTGCGGCGGCCCCGGTGGAGAGGGTCAAACTCCTTCTCCAGAATCAGGGAGAGATGCTGAAGAGGGGGCATCCCATGAGGCCTTATCAAGGAATTCGTAATTGCTTCGTTAGGGTTCTCAGGGAGGAGGGTATTTTCTCCTTCTGGAGAGGGAATCAAGCCAATGTCATTCGTTATTTACCCACCCAGGTTCTAATTTCTTTATCCTGTTGGCTTTTTGCTTGATGTTTTATGCTTTTTCATAACCCAAATTTGATTTTAATGTCGCCAATTATGATTCTGTTCTTTCTGCATCTTACTTGAGCACCTTCTTATAAGTTTTGGTGCATTCCATTTGATTCTAGTGGATTTCTATCAAATTAAAGATATGAGTTTTATGATGATCTTCTGCCACTAAAAGGGGAATGCTCGTGATTCCATTTTCAGCATTATGCAGTCTTAGTTATTATGATTATGAAGCCAACATATTGCGGAGAGTTGATTACATTGGGCTTAAAGTATCTATTTAGTGTTTTGATTAAAATGGGAGATAGCTTGAAAAAGGTTATTTTGTTCCATTTATTCATCATAACATTCAAATTTCTACTACATTCAAGCTATTTATTAACGATCCAAGATGCTCCAACCTCGATCAGTCAAGCCAAGACGTTGGCTTGCTCAAACCCAATGTCAACCCTAGGCAGAGCCTAAAGTCAAACATAGGGTCAAGCCAAAAGTCCAAATGGGTGCATAAAATACACAACGTTACATGGAAGCTACATGAAAGGCAACATTTAATTCAACTGGCTTGAAGAAAGCATTCAAATTAAGGGTCTATTTGGGGCAGCTGCATATTATTTATAATCTGCTTATAAACAGATTATCCTGACAATCTGATAATCTGCAGATTATCAGTATAAGCTGGCTTATTGTTTGGGAGAGCTTATTCATGACAGTTTATTTATAATTGTTGCTGGATAGATGACCATTCTATCTCTGTTCTGGGATGTTTGCAACAGAACTATATGGGAAAAAAAATAGATAAAATAGAAGCCAGAAACCATTGCAAATCAGTTAAAAAAAAACTCAAATTATAGGTAGAACAATAATTGAAAACGAGGACAGAAAGCCACATGCAGGCAGATGAACCCATGGAGCAACTCAAAAAGAGTTTATAATATCAAAGAAAAAGAACACCTATAATGCAAGGGGATCTATGTACTGGAAAGACTCAGCAGGGGCCACTCACAAGCAAGCCAAACAGTGAAATAAAGAGGATAAGATTCGTTTCTTCTCAGTTAAATAGCATTTCTCAGTTAAAATAATACGATTGATGCAAGAAACAGAACACCTATAAAACCTTTCAAAAATTTTAATGTTGTATATGATTTCACTTTTTAAAAGCACGCAGCAACCGCCATTGATGGCTCTGCCGATCAAAGCCCACAAAATAGGGGAAGAACTACCACCATCACGGCTTCCTTTAAGTATCTTTAGAAGAGTAAGTATCTTTAGGAGAAACAAAACTAAAGAATAAAACTATAACATTTCTCAATTAAATAGCATTTCTCAGTTAAAACACTAAAGTTTTTGAGATAGGAGCCACAGGAACCAACTTTCAATGAAGCATTTTGAGATAGGAGCCACAATAGGAGCCACAGGAACCAACTTTCAATGAAGCATTGCTCAACTCACCACCACAGGAGCGCTCGATGTAAATAGGATTGTTGAACTCGCCACAGGAACACTCAATGTAGGATGGTCAATGAGAGTAGAGATAGGAGCCATATAACAAAGAGCAAAATAAAATTCACCCCCATCCTACTGCCTAATTCATTCATGGAAGGCGAGTTGTGCAAAACCATAAGCCATAAGAGGGATTACCTATGAAATTTCAATTCATCACCTAAAGGCACACAAATATCTCAGAGGGAATGGTTGTTGATAAACAGGTCACAGACGAAAATGAGAGAGGGGAAGGGTAGACGGGATCGAGGGCTGAGAGCTGGGGAGGTTGATCACAGAGCTAGGGCAACGATGCGAGAACGGAGACAGGATTGAGGGGCTCAGGAGTAATAAGTTGTGTCGGAACGCGGAACGTGAAATGCGGGGTAATGGGAGCGGCCGTAAAACCTTCGGGTTATAATGTAAATGAATACACGCGTTCCATGACAGCCTACCCCAACACAGTAACCAAACGGCTTTGCGGCGTTTTGAAAACGTCGAACGCTCAAATAAGCTGCGCCATACGAACCCTAAATACCACAAATGTCTATCTTATGGTTGAGTCACAAAAGCGGAGCAGAATTGGGTGGTATATTGTCCTCTTTATTAGTGGGTTCAATGATTGGCCATAGGAAATATTATACCACATGAATTATACCACAAATTTCTATCTTAATGTAGGCAATTGATGCGGTATTTTGGTTTTCCATTTGTTCTTATCACTATTGAATCTGTTATTTAATATGTTTAATGTGTAGAGATGTGATTGATGATATGAGCATAGGATTTGCTCATGTTACAGGACTGGCCATAGGTGGCAAACATAATACCTACCATGTTTTACATGAAAGATGACTCATGGATTTTTTATATGCATGTGTACCTATGCGTTCCATGATACTCTCCATGTGATCCTATACCCTTTGCACGACTATGGATGTGATACTATGCGATTTTACCCATCTTTCGTACATGCATCTTTATAAAAAGATCATGGTTTTGTTATGCCTACACGTGAGTCTGTCCTCCCTGGACCGACTGAAGATATTATAACCGGCCCATAGACGGGCCGGTCTTGGCGATAGAAGGAAGCGGGGCAAACGGGGGAGCCACAGAAGAAGGAAAGGGAAGAGTGGGGTCCACTAGGATCATAATCACCTATACAAGGAGGATAAATTAAGGTAGTCTGGAGGGAAAGTAAGGAAGGATTGTGTTTGAATTCTTGGGAGGGGATTCTATTAAGAGGAGAGCCTGGGTTTGCTTTTGTTATGCTTATTTTTGTTTGACTGTTGTTTTCTTTCTTTGTGTGGTGTTTCTAGCAACTTCTAGGGGGTGGGAGAGACGATCTACCTCTTGAAAAGTAGATCAACCTTTTGTCTTGCTTGTTTTCCTTTGATTTTCATAAGTGCAACCCTTGTTTGTGTTTCTTCCACCTATCTATTTCCATTTCATTGTATTTTGTTCGCTGATTTTGGTATCAAGACTTATCAAGTTCCATGATGCACACATAGACATACTCATCAAAACATGTTATGCTTATCGTTCACATTGTTACATGATGTGCAACTTGTTACTTATTGTGAGTATCAAATGTGGAAATTACGATCACCCAATATGAATGCAAAGGAAGATATTCATATGTTGGAAGGAATAACAAGATTTTTTGTATTTTTTTAGAAACTATTATTGACGGACCAACTATTTTATTTCGATTCTCAATGATCCCATGGTTAAATTGGTTTGAAATGATATACATGTTTTACTAGTGTCATACTTGTATTATGTAGCTTGTATGTACGCTGATATAGATTGCAATACATGGTGCAAACTGTTATATTGATATCATGTATGCATAAAAATGACATTTTTAAATCTGAGAGTACGTTTACTAGTTCTTGTTCGTACATTAAATTTTTTAGTTTTTTTCCATGTGATACTCTTCCTATTATACCTATATGTATTGGTTATGTAAATATTTTCTTTCGCAATCATGATTTCTGTATAGTTTTATGTTGTACAGGGTCGAAATGATACCGAGTAATCATAAGATTCTTTTGGATGTAAAAAATACATCAGTATCAATGTAGCCTATGTTTTATTTTTTTTTCATTTACTTATCATGTGCATGTAAATTGCCTTAAAATTATCTCCAATAACTTTGGATTTTGAAGAGAGCGTTGCTATGAAATGATATTTGACTTCTTGTCCTAGATTTTTTATAAATTATTTTCATTATAATATTAATTCAAATGATCTCTGCAGGCCTTCAATTTTGCATTTAAGGGCTACTTTCAAGCCATATTTTCATCTTCAATGAAGGATGGTTATGCTACATGGTTAGCTGGAAATGTAGCTTCCGGTGGTGCCGCCGGAGCAATAACTTCGTTACTCTTATACCATTTGGATTATGCACGGACTCGACTTGCCACAGACACGTTTGATCGCCAAGCAGGCAGTCAGCGCCAGTTTAAAGGGCTTCTGGATGTTTACAAGAAGACCCTTTCTAGCGATGGTTTTGTTGGCTTGTATCGAGGTTTTGGGGTGTCACTAATGGGTATCACTCTATATCGCGGTCTCTATTTTGGCATCTATGACACCATGAAGCCTATTGTCTTGGTTGGACCATTTGAAGTGAGTGATAGGTCACCATATTGTTCTTCTCAAATTTCAAGAGAAAAGAGGGTGTTCTTAAATAATCGAGTGAAGTGTCAAAATAATCTCCCGACTAAGTCCTAGAGTCTGTAAAAGTGCCAAATTAGTCTTTAGACTCTTTTAATATAGGTTGAAGTAGTTTTTAGGGAGGACATTTTTAGCCCCCATTGAAAGAGTCTAGAGACTAAATTGACATACGAAGAAACATCGAAGTTAACAGCAGAACAAAATTGATAAAGGTTTTGAGAGTTGAGGTATTAAAACACTTAGAAAAACCTAGCATTAATTTAAACAATCAATATAACCAAGGGACTATTTTGATCAATTGCTCGCATTACACTCTATATAGTTTCTTAACACATCACAGCTTTGTTATAACAATGAGATTCAAATTCTTATTACAGGAAAACTTCTTGGCCAGTTTTGCTTTGGGATGGACTGTGACAACTTCAGCCGGGCTTTGCGCCTACCCATTCGATACCTTGCGTCGTCGAATGATGATGACTTCGGGACGACCCGACAAATACCGAAGCTCTTTCCATGCCTTTCGGCACATAGTTCAAAGTGAGGGATTTTTCGTTCTGTTTAGAGGAGCATGCGCCAATATGCTCTCAGGAATGGCAGGAGCTGGAGTGCTTGCAGGTTACGATCAGCTCTGTCGTTTCGTCTACCGACAAAGTTAGACTAGCTCTGTAATATGCAGGGAACTACAGAAGGTTGGTTTCAACCGATCAAATGTAAGTAATTCAAATTACAAACACCTGTAAATAGCTTCCTGATTTGATTTTGAATTTGTCATTTGTGCATATATAACTCATTTGTATGATGAGAACTGTACCATACTCGCATTGATTATCAATAAGAAAAGGGAAGTTTACATACCTAGCACATAATTCTTATGTATTTACATGTTTTACACAAACTTTCATATTTACATGCGGGGCACTTTGATGCTTTAACTTCATGGTTGGAAATGTGTAGTTCACTTTTTAAATGCAATAATAGTGATATTTTTTTATCTGATATTGAAGATTTGAGCACTATGTGTGTAAATATGAAAGTTCAGATGTGAGATATGTAAATACATATGGATTGTGTGCCAGCCATGTAAATGGCCCCTAAAAAAAAATTTTTTTTTTGCCCTATCAAATACTCTTCTAGTTCATGAAATTTAATTTTGTGATGATCTCCTCTTTTTAATTTGGTAGCTTTCATGACCTACTGCTAGTTACTGAACATGGATTAGAATTCATAACCATTTGTAATTTTTCTGTTTGATTGAAATCAGTCTGCTTGGAAGAGTTGCAACAACAATTTTCCAGGGTGGTATCTATTTTATATATGAAGGTTTTCTGTTGAGTGAAAATTGACTTCAAGCTGGATTTTCTTCTAATTTTGTTGGAAGATTTACATACATATCACTCAATTCCTATGTATTTACATATCTGATCACTAAACTTCAATTTTTACATATATGCCAATGTGATGTGAAATGTTTGGGTGACATAAATGTAAAAAGTAAAGTTTGGGTGTTGGATAAGTAGTATACCTCCTTTTTTCTTAGCACTTCTAATTGGAATGAGCTGCAATAAAAATTTTGATAGGCATCTAATTGTAAAGAGCTGCAATAAAAATTTTGTATGCATTCTGGCTATAATACAGCTTAAAACAAACTCCATTATAATATGCAAATTCTAAGTTAAGGACAAGAAAATAAAGTTGCCAAGGGCTACAGAGAAGCATGAAAGTTATTAGAGTGAACCATAACAAGATAAAGTTATTACAAAACCACCATCCTTCTTTGTGCTTATAATTCTTTGTAAAATTGCAAATTTTGTAACATAATTGGTGATATTTATTAAAAGAAACAAAATTCTTTTCTTTGTTATTTACCTCATTGTTATCACCTCCCTTTTCCTCCTCTGCCTCTTCATTCATAGTCCTTGGTGTTACCTATTTTTGGTTATTTTTAAAGAAATTCGGAGTCGTCAACTTGTCTACTTATATGTCTTTGTATTATTCTCTTCTTAAAATAAATCTTTCTCCTGAATCATATAAATGATTCGAAGAGGAAATGATATGCACCAATAAAAAGACAAACAAATTTGAAAAGAAACATGGAAGACTAATGTGTACATAATCCTCGTGTGATAGATCGAAAGTATATGTCCAAACAATATCAAATTGAAATACCTCGAAACACGGTATCCACAACGAGAATCTCTATATAAGCCACCAATAATCAGAAAACCAAAAAGTACATTTTTGTTCTTGTCTCTTAAATATGGACGTATCCTTTTAGTTAATTACATCTTAGGAGATACCTAAGCATAATTTCGATAAAATAATTTTGCTTATATTATCATAATCTGATGAAATAGGACATCAAAGAATGATTATTTAGTATGGGAATGCCTCGATACTTTCAAAGCTCTCGCTGAGCCACAGGACAGAGAGTGACTCTCTCACATCCCAAAAAGGTAGCGACTCATCGTCATGTGGAACTTACGAAATAACCAAATTGGCTCGACCGCAATATCCCTATACTTTACAACTCACTAGGTTATAAGGGCAAGAGGGTGAATCACCGCATTCAAAACAGGCAGCAATTCATCAGTAATCGGACCATCAAAACGATATCAACAAAGCCGCAAAAGGACGTCATGACTCAAAAGGGTTCAACAAAGGAAGAGCAGAGTGATTCTAACAGGTAGAGGTCGTCGGGTCAAGGTACCATAGATCCATCATCCCAAGCTACTAAGACCCTTAGTCTACCCGGTCGTGAAGGTAGTCGACCCAACACATCTAGAGATCATCGTTCAGCAATTCAACGAATTGTGTCTTCCGCAAGGACCTTGGTAACACTAAGGTCAAACGAACGAAACTCTATTTTATGATTATCAGGTGGAGCTCCAAGAGATGTGACTTATACTTACCGAAGTAGTGAGGATGTCGTTGGAAAGAGAGAAGAAAGGGAGGCTCAGCTACAAAACTGGAAACCAGACATGAAAATTTCAATCCCTTTATCGATCAAATAAAAAAAATAGACATCATGCAATACTGAAAAGTCGCAGGCGCATTGCTCAATCCAAAGGACATCCTTCTAAATGCAAAAGTCTCGTAAGGACTTGTGAATGTGGTCTTATCCTGATTCTCAGGAGTAATGAGAATCTGATGGTACTCTGAGTACCCGTCTAAAAAGCATAAAAAAGGGGTGGCCAACAGGCTTATCTGATCTAGAAAAGGTAGGAAGAAATGATCTTTTATAGTGGTTGTATTTAATTTTCTATAACTAATGTATATTCACAACCAGTGACATGCCTATTAGGCATTAGTTCATTTTATTTTCTGCTACTTGAGGTACACAATGGATAGAGCTAATCCAAACACCATCGAAAATGGGGTAGATAATGTCTGTATCTAGTCATTTCAGTATCTCCTTTTTAACTACTTTCATGACAGAGTTTAGTCTTCTTTGAGGATCTATCCTAGGTTTATGATTTTCCTCCATAAGGATCCTATGCATGCATATCGAAGGATTAATCTCTTTGATACTTGCTAAGGTCCATCCAAACGCTTTCTTAAAATTCCTCAAAAAACTCATCAATTTTTTCTTGTGAGAACTACTGAGTTCTGAGGATATGATAACAGACAAAGTAGATTACTTCTCTAAATAAACATACCTCAAATATTTAAGAAGTTTTTTCATCTTTAATTTAAGCGGTTCTTCAATGGAAGGGACTAAAGGTTTAAAATTTCTAGTAGTATCCAATAAATCAAACCTCTCTCTATAGATCTTTGGAATAACCTTTATAAGTAGAGCTGATTCTTCCTTTAAGTCAGTAATATCATCCTCGATCAAACTTTGCTCTACTAGATTAACTTCACAGCATTCCTTAAATTGGCTTCTACAAAGTCGATCCATTAGATCCATCCTAAAAAAATGAATCCATACTAGAATCAAAAGGGAATTTCATAAATTTTAATACATTTAAAGTAATCTCCTGATCATTCACCCTCATAATCAACTTTACATTCTGCAAGACAATCATAGCCCTACTAGTGGCAAGTTGAAGGGTCACAGTGGTATGTGACACTTCTCCTAAACCTAATCTCTTAAAAATTGACAATGACATAAAGTTGATACTAACACCTAAATCATATAAAGCCTTCCCAAAGAATTTCTCTTCAATAGCACAAGGAATGGTAAAGCCACCAAGATACTTAAGTTGACTTCGACGATATTTGAAGTGAGTCGGTCATGACTTGTTAGCCGTCACATTGCTATTTTGCCTTATGGTTGACTTGACTTATGAAATAGATCTCAATGTCTGCAGTTCCTTACCAAATCCAAGAGTTTTTTACGAATTATTTGCATATTGTCAACGTAATTTTCTGAAATTTTGACTCACTAAAGAAAGTCTTCTCCAAAAATTTGTAGTGGATTCTCATGCAACACCGAAAATCTTCTAACACGCATCAAGATGATCCAATTCCTAGTGTGTAATATCATAGAATACTCAATTTTTTTATTGACTTTCAAAGTCAATTATCACCCAACTAATTCTTAATTAGATATTTCAAATCACGGTTGCCGCAAGCGTAGAAACTTCTCTTATTGCATTCCAGCATGCATTCCTAACCGAAACATTAATGCTCTTTGTTTATTAGCCCTGCTATGATTGTTTGATAGGCAGTTAAGTCAAAGTTGACCCAAAAAGGTAAAGTGGACGTGCCATTTTAGAGGAAAGAATTATTCTTCTTGTGGCAACAAAATAGAATTAATTTGACTTGTCCATATCTGTCTATTATATAGTAGCTGTTTTATTGTGGATCAAATAAAAAGTAGAAGCTTGGAAAAGGCATGATCCTTATATTTAATATACATCACTAATATTATATGAAGTTATATATGATTGTTTAGTATTACTTTGTTATGTAAGCCCGAATGTATACGCTCCTTTACGTACGTACTTACATACAGAATAAAAGAAATTGATTAAATATTCAGATCAAAATTTACGTTTAAAAAATATATATATATTTTAGAAAAAAATCGGAGCAGCTAAATGAAACCAAATCAACGTGCTCTTCATGAATAAGATGCAGATATTGTATATATAAGCCTATGTCGCCCAGAGAGGTTCCATCCAACCATTACATACGTTCTCCTACTATTTCTTTGCCTGAAGAAAAGAAGAACAAATAGATAGATGGCTGACAGTGGAAAGAAGGAGAAGAAGAAGCTGGGTGGGATGAAGACCATGCCTTTTATATTATGTGAGCGCCCTTTAAACGATATTATATACGATGGATGATGATTAATGATTAAAAGTACATTAGTTGTGACACAATATATTTATTTATATATATGAAATTGGTAAATGCAGCAAATGAAGTGTGTGACCGGTTTGCGACGGCGGGATTCAATGCAAATATGGTGAACTATCTGAGGAACGAGCTGCACGTACCGTTGCTTCAGGCCACCAACACCCTCAACAACTTCGCGGGAACCGCCAGCTTGACCCCTATCGTCGGTGCCCTCATCGCAGACTCATTTGCCGGTCGCTTCTGGACCATCGCCGTCGGAGCCACATTGTATCAACTGGTACCTAACTTCTCTTGCTTCATGCTCAACAACCCAATGATTAAAAAATATGTAGTCAATGTACAGTCAATTAACATATCATAATTGCAGGGAATGCTGGGCGTGACCATATCTGCAATCCTCCCGTCCCTCCGGCCGCCGCCATGCTCCCCCGATTTTCCATCCACTTGCCAGGAAGCTGCCCCATGGCAGCAAGCAATATTCTACTTGTCCCTTATGCTCACAGCAGTTGGGTCCGGCGGGACGCGGCCATGCGTCGTGGCATTCGGTGCGGAACAGTTGGAGGAAAATGACAAATCTGGTCGAAAATCTGGGAGCGAAGAGTCGTCGGGGAAGGGCAAGCCGAGCTTCTTCAACATATACTTCTTCTGCATCGGACTATCGGTCATGCTCGCCCTCACCGTGGTGGTTTATGTTCAGGACAATGTGGGATGGGGGATTGGCTTTGGAATCCCTACTGTCTCCATGTTCATCTCCATCCTTGTATTCATCTTCGGCTACCCGATTTACATACGAAGGAAGCCCGGCGGGAGCCCGATGGCCCGGGTGGCACAAGTGGTGGCCGCCGCCCTGAGAAAGCGGAAGCTCGTCGTGCCCACTGATGGTAGTGTTTTGTATCAGAACAGGGAGCTGGACGCTGATATTTCTACTGTGGGTCTGCTAGCCCACACCAAGCAATTCAAGTAATTACTACTTCTATTTGATTAACCCTTTTAATTAGCAATCAATGTCGGTTGCTCGATCCATCTGTTTGTTAATGTAAATTTGAAAATTTACATAAGCTTTTTTATTGAAAAAAATTGCAGGTTTTTGGACCGGGCGGCCATCGTTGCCGACGGCGACATAGATGAGAGCAGCAATCGTCCCATTCCATGGCGGCTTTCGACTGTACACAGAGTGGAGGAGCTGAAGTCCATATTGGGAATCCTTCCAATCTGGTCGGCCGGAATCTTCATCTCCACCGCCACCTCTAATAACTACACCTTTGGCTTAGTTCAGGCCAAATCAATGGACCGCCAGCTCGCCAGTGGCTTTAGCATTCCGCCAGCCAGCTTCTTCATCTTCTCCTCCGCCTCCATGCTCCTCACACTTACCCTCTATGACCGTGTAATTGTTCCCCTAGCCCGCCGCCTCACAGGGAACCCAGAAGGAATCTCCCAGCTCCGCCGAATCGGCATGGGCCTCGCCATTGCTGTCCTCTCTAATGTCTCCGCCGCACTGATTGAGAACCGCCGGCGCTGCGCTGCGGGTCATATCAGTGCGTTCTGGCTGGTGCCGCAGTGCATGGTGCACGGCGTAAGTGAGGGGTTCGCTTCAGTGGGGCTGATGGAGTTTCTTTACAAGCAGTCGCCAGAGAGCATGAGAAGCATTGCGGCGGCTCTTTTCTGGCTGTCGATATCGTTGGGGCACTATGGAGGAACGTTTCTGGTGACGATGGTGAGCGACCTAACAAAAAGATCGGGAGAAGGGGGTTGGCTACAGGATGACATTAATGAGGGCAGATTGGATTACTACTACTGGTTGGTGGTTGGGATGCAGGTTTTCAACTTGGTTTACTTTATTATTTGTGCTAAATCTTATGTTTTTAAGAGATTGGAAGTGGAGGAGGAGGGTGATGCTAAGCTCCACCTTGGCGATGAAGATGACCATGAAGATCACCCTCACGTGCATGCTGCTGTAGTCTAGGACCATTTGTTCTAACTCAACACATTTTTTCCCCATTTTTCCCTCTATATTGTAATTATTCTTTCTATTTACTTGTATTGTTGAGAATTTTTTTTTTCAATATATTGATTTGTACTGTGACTTTTTATCAAATATTATTAAATTGTTTTGAGTAAATTTTATTATTTTTATACTTACTTTATGTTATGATCTTGATCGTAATCTTTATGTTGATGTGTATTAACTCAATCATATGAAAAGAAATTTATTTTTTATAGTTAAAGTGGGGATACTTATTAAAAGACACATGGATCACTTCTCTCCAATCTTCCTCTTCTCCGTAGTTGACCTTCTTTGGTTTGGCATTGGTTTCTTCCATCGTCACCTCGAGAGCTTCATTATATGCTTTTAGGTATTAGGTCTTGTTCCGCCTCAGTTGTTATCACAAAAATATAAATCTTGGTAATGTCACCAGAAAACATGATATGCTCCCTATCAAATTGTTTAAATTCTTAAAATCAATTTTTTCTACACATTAAGGTTTCTCATGCAAGTATACATATCGTTTCAGTAACATTGGACTCTTAAGAGTCTCGAATATCAAACCCACAGGCAATAATGTGAAGCTAAAGTAGGATAATATTCTAGTCTATGTAATTCGTTTTTAGTTTGGAATATTGAAATACTTAAAATTTTACTAACCCTACTGCAATTATATAAAGTTACTCCTACAGAATTTCTAACTACGTTAAATGAAGAAGTTTTGCCAATTGCTATGGTTACTTTTCCTTTCCATGATAATAATAGAGTGTAGATATGAAAGAAATGTGAAACAAGGTAAAGAATTATGATAAATTGAAGCATAAATCCTCTTTATCCGCTTCCGAGCGTATAAAGATGCTTGGTTAAAGTGACATTAATTGCTTAAGTCCCACATTGAACCCAATGAAATTATCTCCCTATTTATTTGCATCTTCTTACAGTGTACTTTGATTCATACCCTATAGTTTATTTTGTAGTTTTTTCATGTCATAGCTCTTCCGAGTTCTTACGGGTTCACAACACATTTTTACAGATTAATTGGCCGGATTGAAAAGTAAATTAAGTACAGAAGAAAATCATCACAATTATAGAATAAAAACTATTTCGTGCATGTTATCCACATTCTTACACATCTACTAGATCACCACAAGGAAAAGCGAGAAAATTTACTCAGAAAGCATGAATAAACCACAACAAGAATGCATAAATACCAAGAGATTTAACACACAAAAGTGTTTCAGAGAATCACAAACCCAAAACACGAATATACTTGTCTCTCTCTCTCTTAATTTACCTTGAGAATGCTTCACTCAAGCCCTTGCTTTTCTCCTGCAGACTCTTCACCCAAGCACTCACAAACTCAACAATTCACTCCCTTAGACTTGCTTTCACAAGCCTAGAAAGACCTCGAGGTGGCGATGGAAGAAAGCTGACCCAGAGAAGCTCAACAGTGTAGAAGAGGAAGAATGAAAAGAAGCGATCCATGTGCCTTTTAGACTCTGTTTGTGGCAGCTGTTTTAGCGTGATGAGACAACGGTCCATCGTATTTTGTCATTTTACTTTCCCATTGCGAGAGTAGTGCCACATAGCGAAAAGTATTAAACAAGATCGACCCTGTGACCTGTGTTTATTCTCAAGATTTTTACGCACATACCCCTCTTTCGACCCCGCATTCATGTTTTCTACTCCTTCTATTTCCATAGAAGCTTCTTCATCCTCTAACTTAACCGACGTGTCGGAGTCCACATTATTGCGGTATCCCCTCTCCCTATATTTTTTGAGAGATTTTCTTTTCTCGATGCTTTGCAATGTGTAGATTCAACTGTATTTTTTTGTTTGGTGCTTCTATATAGTGATAATTTTGATGTGGTGGATCTTTCCCTGGTTTTTTTTTCGGCCTCACTGCTAGTAGCAAATATGTCTAATTTCATTCAAAGTCACTAAAATTTACTAGTGGTACCACATGTGGCATTCTGTTGAGAAGAGAAGCATATTTCTCTCTCACGCACATATTATGAAATGAGGCAGAAAAGTAGAAAGAACGGGACAGTAATGCGAACCAAGTTTTTTTTTTTTTGGTCTTACAACTAGTAACAAATATGTCTAATTTCATTGAAAGCCACTGAAATTTACTGGTGGTACCATTTGTGACATTCTAATGAGAAGAGGAGCATATTTATCTCACACACACACTTTGAAATGAGGAAAAGTGGAGAGAAAGAGACAATGATGTGAGTCATCTTTTTCATTTTTATTGTTTGGTCTCACAACTAGTAGCAAATATGCATAATATCATTCCATGCCACAGAAATTTACTAGTGGTATCAACTGTGGCATTCTGATGAGAAGAGAAGTATAATTCTCTCACACACACACACTATGAAATGAGTCATATAAGAAGAAAGAATGAGATAGTTTTGTGAGCAATGTTGCTCTTTTTTTTTGCATAACAACCGGTTGCAAATATGTATACTTTCATTTCCAACCATTGAAATTTACTAGTGGCCTCACAACAAGTAGCAAATATGCATAATATTATTTCATGTCACAGAAATTTAGTGATACTACTTGTGATAATCTAATGAAAATAGAAGTATATTTCTCTCTCACACACACACTTTTATATGATAAAGAGAAGTAAAAAAGAATGAGGCAGTGATGTGGGCATTGTTTTTTCTTTTCTTTTATTTTTTTTTTACATCACAGCTAGTAACAAATATATACTTTCATTCCCATCTAATAAATTTTACTAGTGATACCACCCATGACATGCTAATGAGAAGAGAAGTATATTTCACACACACACGCACACACTGTGAAATGAGTCACAGAAAAGAATGAATGAGACAGTGATGTGAGCAATGTTTCTCTTTTTTTTGGCATCACAACTAGTTGCAAATTTGTAAACTTTCTTTTATAGCCATTGAAATTTACTAGTGACCTCACAAATAGGAGCAAAGATGTATATTGTGATTCAAATCCACTGAAACTTACAAGTGGTATCACCTAGGGAATTCTGATGATAAGATAAGTATATTTCTCACTTTCACACACATTGTTATATGATAAAGAGAAGTAGAAAGAATGAGGCAGTGACGTGAGCATTTTTTTTTTGTTTGCCTTACAGCTAGTTACAAATAGGTATACTTTCATTCCCGACCATTGAATTTTACTAGTGGTATCTTCTGTTGCATTCTGATGGGAAGAGAAGTATATTTCTCTCACACAAGCACACACTGTGAAATGAATCGTAAAAGAAGAAAGAATGAGACAGTTATGTGAGCCATGTTTCTCTTTTTTTTGCATCACAACAAGTAGCAAATATGTATACTTTCATTCCAACCACTGAATTTTACTAGTGGCCTCACAACTAGTAGCAAAAATGCATAATGTGATTCAAATCCACTTAAATTTATAAGTGGTATCACCTAAGGCATTCTGACGATAAGAGAAGTATATTTCTCACTCACACACACACTGTTACATGATGAAGAGAAGTAGAAAGAATGAGGCAATAATGTAAGCATTGCCACTCTTGGTACTCCCTATTAAGTGAGGCGTGCATCCAAATTTCTATACTATCATGCAGTGAATTTCTACTTCTGAAGTATCAAGTATATGACAATGACAATTCTGCAATAAAAAGAATTACTAAACATGAGAAAATGGTCATTTGTCGAGAAATAATTGGCAGACAGTTGTTTCAAGCAGCTGAAACAAATAGTCAGCTAACTTCTCTGCAGCAGTATTACCGTAGCAGCTTCCAGTGACAGCTAAACTGTAGCCGCCCTAAACACACTCATAATTAGTACCCCTACTTTAACTGTACAAATAAAGTTCTTTTGATATGATAGAGTTAATGCACATCAACATAAAGATTACGACCAAGATCATAAAGTAAGTACAAAAATAGTAAAATTTACTCAAAACAATTTAATAATATTTGATAAAAAGTTACAATACAAATCACTAAATTGAAAAAAAAAAATCTCAACAATACAAATAAACAGAAAGAATAATTACAATATAGAGAGAAAAAAGGCAAAAAAATGTGTTGAGTTAGAACAAATGGTCCTAGACTACAGCAGCATGCACGTGAGGGTGATCTTCATGGTCATCTTCATCGCCAAGGTGGAGCTTAGCATCACCCTCCTCCTCCACTTCCAATCTCTTAAAAACATAAGATTTAGCACAAATAATAAAGTAAACCAAGTTGAAAACCTGCATCCCAACCACCAACCAGTAGTAGTAATCCAATCTGCCCTCATTAATGTCATCCTGTAGCCAACCCCCTTCTCCCGATCTTTTTGTTAGGTCGCTCACCATCGTCACCAGAAACGTTCCTCCATAGTGCCCCAACGATATCGACAGCCAGAAAAGAGCCGCCGCAATGCTTCTCATGCTCTCTGGCGACTGCTTGTAAAGAAACTCCATCAGCCCCACTGAAGCGAACCCCTCACTTACGCCGTGCACCATGCACTGCGGCACCAGCCAGAACGCACTGATATGACCCGCAGCGCAGCGCCGGCGGTTCTCAATCAGTGCGGCGGAGACATTAGAGAGGACAGCAATGGCGAGGCCCATGCCGATTCGGCGGAGCTGGGAGATTCCTTCTGGGTTCCCTGTGAGGCGGCGGGCTAGGGGAACAATTACACGGTCATAGAGGGTAAGTGTGAGGAGCATGGAGGCGGAGGAGAAGATGAAGAAGCTGGCTGGCGGAATGCTAAAGCCACTGGCGAGCTGGCGGTCCATTGATTTGGCCTGAACTAAGCCAAAGGTGTAGTTATTAGAGGTGGCGGTGGAGATGAAGATTCCGGCCGACCAGATTGGAAGGATTCCCAATATGGACTTCAGCTCCTCCACTCTGTGTACGGTCGAAAGCCGCCATGAAATAGGACGATTGCTGCTCTCATCTATGTCGCCGTTGGCAACGATGGCAGCCCGGTCCAAAAACCTGTTTTTTTTTTTTAAATAAAAAACTTATTTCAGTTTTCAATTTCGAATTAACAAACAGATGGATCGAGGAACCGACTTTGAAAGCTAATTAAAAGGGTTAATCATATGGAAGTAGTAATTACTTGAA